GGGGGGGGGGGGGGGGGGGGGACAGAATTCTGACCCCCTTTTCCCCCCTCTGGGCGCATGGGGTCATCAGGCCCGGAGAGATCCATAACTCCGTCGTCCAAAAGACTATATAAGGATATAAGGAAGCCTTTTTTTCTCCTCTTGCCTTGGTCTACCCATGAACCTCAGTCCTCCTCACTCTTGAGGAAAAAAAAAGCCATGCATTTCCTCCTCGTCGGCGCCACCGGAGAGGCCGGCCTGAACGTCGTGGTCGAGTTGCTCCTTCAGGGCCACACTGCCGTGGCCCTCGTGCCTCCCTCTGCATATACCAAACTCGTTTTCTTTCACCGCCGCCTCACCATCGTGGTTGGCTCGCCGTTGTCAAAGTCCGACATAGAAAACGCCCTCCACGCGGCCCCTTCGCTGACACCCTCGGCGGCCATCATCACCTTGAACGTGGTCCGCCCGTTCGCAACCCGGATCTCGCTTCCTCGATTCCTAGCAGATTCGTGCGCCAATGTCTGCGATGTGTTGCAAGCCGCGGGCATCTCTCGTGTCGTCGTCAAGTCCGTGGCTGGTGTGGGCGATTCGTTCGCCCAGCTCCCCCAGGAGATCAAGGCGAGCATGCTGTTGCCTAGCGCCAAGTACCTGCTCGAGGATTACGGGCTTGTTGACGAGGAGATCCGGAGAACCAAGATGGATTGGACGCTGGTGAGGGCTGTGAGGGTGCAATATCACGATTCGATGCCCCCGAACCAGAAGTTAGACGTGCAGACGCTGGGCAGCAATGGTGAGGGGATGGGGCTCGCTGATTGCGTCAGTGTGGTAAATCTGGCGAGGTTCATGGTCAAGGTGGCCGCCGAGGGGCTCTTTGTCAGAGAAGCAGTGGTTGTGAGGGATTGACTGACGTGGTCGACCAGTTTTGCCGGGACCCATAGTCGTTGATCTCGTAGGGACTATAGTCTTGACGCAGGCAGTCCTTGGAGTTATTTACCAAGAGTCATCAATACAGAAGACGTGATGTACGGAAACGTGAGAAACTCCATCGTGTAATCTATTCGATTGAGACTATGCTTTTCGAGGGTTTGAAGCTCGACACAGCCGTCTCGGTACCTGGTGTTTCAACAGTGGCCAGTCGACGATTGCTCATGCGTGTTACGAGGAATGCCCCTGTCACGGGGGAAACTATCCCATTTCAGGTACTCCCTCTTCTGCCACCCCCGTCCAGTGCTTGGCTCTTATTTTCACACCAATGATCTTGGCTCCTTAGCCGCTGACCCAGTGCAATCACACGGAACAGAAGGGGCAAAGCGAAATACGAAGCCAGTACCAGATGTCCAAATGTGGGGGTTGTGGTTGTGTATGCATGCACTATTTTGGGCTGCAGGCTGGTGGCTCTGGTGAGAAAAACCAAACGATTCCTCTCTTGATCAGTTATTCTGGCCAATAAGACCTCCCTGGGTAGATTCTACGACGAAGCCAGTGTCTCCACTCGAACGGCGACGGTGTCAGCCTCAACGCGGGAACATATTTTCGACCAGATTGGATCTGGTGATATTTCCATTGTCTTTATTAGCCAAGCACGGACAAGTAATTATAGAAAAAAAAAAAAAAAAAACATAGCAAAATTCCACACTTTTGCATTGCAGGCTTCTGAGAAGGAACTTTTCGACGTGGATGTGGCTGGCCCGGCCCTTCCGTCATGGCCATCCTGGAACGGCATTTCCTGTAACCTCGTGGATTGGTCCTTCGAAAGTCTTGGTACAGGTTCAGCTGACGGTTTTTCCGCACCGAAAAGAGCCAATCAGTAGGCAGTGTCCAATGTTGGGGTCAGGCTACCCCGGCTCCAAAGAGGGGTGCAACATTCCTGTGCAGAAAATGATGTGGCCAAATTTTCTTTTTCCGCGGGCAGTCAGTGTGACGAATGGCAAAGCACGACAGAGAGACAAAAGGACGACAGGAAAAGATACGAGAGTACCAATGAAAGACGAAAACGGTGGTGCTACAGTGGTGCCTTCACCGCTGCTTCACTCTGCCTGACCAGGCGCAGTTGGATGAGATTCCCAACGTTTCTTGTGAACAGGGATAAAGAAGTGTGTGCAGTCTCCTGACTAGGGGGTACTTTGGACAGATAGCCAAAGATCCTCGCAGACTACCACAGCCAACATCGACTGTTGGTCGAGGGGATGCCCAACGTTGCTCGTAGACAGGGGTAAAAGAAGTGAGCGCAGCCTCCTGACTGGAGGGCACTTTGGATAGACAGCCAAAGATCCCCGCAGACTACCACAGCCAACATCAATTGTTGGTCGAGGGGATTCCCAACGGATTTGCCATGATACCGGACAGTAGCCCAGCCAGAGGCATTGATTGGCAGCCTCATCGCTTGCAAGCAAGGGGTGTAAGGGCACATGTTTTCCTGGAGCGAAACAACATGTGCCGCGTGAACCAAACTAGTGTAATGCTGTGCAACATATCATCAGCAAATCAAACATAGGAGGGCGGGGTATGATTGATCGCTGATTCGATATCTGGATAATTGACAGGTTCTTTATTCAACATCCCGCCGGCTAGCGCCTCTCTCTGCTTGGCCGACGAATCATAGGTTCCCCCCCTTTTTCCTGCACCGGAGCCTCTAACACACTCAGCTGCTTATTCCTAGCTTCAGGCCTCCCTATCCACTCTTCGCAATACATTGATTGGCATACACAGAGCTGCCTCCTTACGTGAAGTATACTAAATAACCTCCGAAATGAAATTCACCTCGACTGACAAGTCTTTGCTCTTACTCTAACCCAGAATCCTCCAGAAAAGTCTTTACTCTCACAACAACCCAAAATCCTCCAGAAAAGTCTTTACTCTTACAACAACCCAAAATCCTCCAGAAAACCTGAACCAATGTCAGACCCAGTTGGCAACAACGCACCACCAGCGCTCGGTGAAGAAGCCGCGTCACTAGTATCGGACGAGGTTTTGCTGCGTCTCTGGAATCGAGTCCAAGAGGACGCCTGGTCAGACAATGTTGCACTCAACTTCTGGCTGCACCTATACGCGAAATACCTGTTCTCGGGCAAGCAATGGATCGTCGGTGTCAACAACAGTCCCTTCGACAATGATGCCTTCGACATCGAGCCGCTCAAGACAGATCTGTCTGTCCAATATCTGGGACACGCGGGCATACAGACCCTATTTTTCCACATGCTCACAGGCAAAGAAGCTACAAGGGGTGACTTGGCCGAAATCGAAGACCAGGCATATGTTGCCTGCGTGAAATATCTGACGGCGAATCCGGACATCACACTCGTGTACGCCGTGACAAGTTTCGGGACCAGAGCGAGGATCTGGTTCTGCCGTCAGGGCTCGGATTCCTTGCAGGAGCTGTTTGGGTCGGACGATGGGTCTGACGATACGGCTGAGGCGTCGAGGTACGTGGAGGCCCACGGCGGCGACGCCATTGTCCTTCGAAGAGGTTTTAGTTACATGATGACGTCCCCGCCTGTTGCTCGTCGAGGCATCAACCACGGGTCGAGGTCTCCTGCATCATCTCGCCGTAACTAACCTCGACTTCGAAGAGGCTTCATGTGCGTCGAGAAGGGTTGAAAATTAGTGGAGAACCACAAATGAGATAGCGGGTGTGAAAGTTCATTGAGGGCATTGAAGACAGTTATCGACCTGTGTACCTAAAGCTCATGTCAGACTTGCGGCATCAATCATCACGATCTAACGTCCACGTGCAACTCACTGCCAAGGGTGCCTAGGCAATGTAATGCAGGTCGTGCCAATACCCCCGCTAACGTTCATCTCGAACAGTTAGCAGCCACCCTGAGGTGAGGTGCGGTAGTCACTTTCTGAAAATTACTAGTGTCCAACGGAGATGACATGACACACTTACGACAGGCAAATTGACTATTTTAGGAGATACCGGGAAATACGAGGAGATACTAGCACTAGGGGTGTCATACTAACGTGGCTACTCACTGTAGTAAACGGCTAAATTTTCCCTAATAAAGTGGCCACGGAATTCTGGCACCCCCTAGTACTGGGAGATACTGGGAGATACTAGGAGTGACTGGGAGTGACAAGAAATGGATTATAAGAGAGACTGTGAAAGATGTTGAAGAGACAAACGCGTGACACGCTAAGCTCTACGGGCCTGAAGGGGACTAGTCTATTCTCCTGGGGATTACTGGAAACTACTGGGTCTGCGCCACACTGCGCCACTGACCGGCCAACTTTACTGTATGGCCCCCCCCCCCGAGCCCGAGTTGAACTTGTCATGTTCCTCCATCGAGCCACGTACCGCGCAGGCATCCCAGCCTCCCAGCAAAGCACTTTTCACAGATTGGATGATGCCGAATCACCGAGATGAGACATCTGGATGAAGTTGCCCAACTCATTCCGTCGACTTCGGAAAGCGGCGCATGACATTTTCCCTGGAGAAATACCAAAGTACGTCAAGATGTCTACCTCTCGATGTCGGGGTTCCTTCGTCTTGCTTTTACACATGTAGGTTGACACAAGTTTCTCCAGTCGTTAGCGACAAGCATGAGCACTTCTTCCGCTACACGTCTGACCGCGCAGGGTATTCGACGAGCAAAGCACAGATGGCGAAACGATGTGTCAAAGTTTGACGTAGAAGCTTTTCAGGAGATTTGCTGGCCGTGCCCTTCCGCTCTGCTTGTGTGAATATCGTCAAGCTGCCGGAAAGGCCTTCACAACAAAGTTTTCTCACTTCGGATGGGAAAATGGAAAGGAATGTTCTCGCACGGATTCCTGATCCAAATGCTGCCCACACCGCACTACGTCGTTACTGGTAGGGTTATCACGACGCAACCTGGAACAGGAGGAATATCTACTATTAGGGTGTAATTATAACATGAGATTCTGGAACGGAAGAGTCTAAATGGTAATGAACAGGGGCGAGGCTATTAGCCAGAGGCATCAACTCGTACGGCGGTGGGCACGGTGTTAGGGGTAACGGCTATCGCACAGCAACAACAAAACAGCATAGAAAGTCCTGATCAGATAGATTCATAACTTTGATTGATCACTGTCCTCTGTGTCCTTGTGTCCCTTGCTTGGACTCCCCTTGACAGATTGGTAGGTTGATCCTTCCCAGAAAGATGAAAGAAAAAAGGACCTCAGACCCAGTGTCAGAGATCTAACCAATCAGTGGCTAAGAGTGCCATCCTGTACATTGTACAGGGCAAATTCCACGAATCACGCCTCAGCCTGTAGATTTTCTCCCATTACAGTAATAGTACCTACCTCGCGGTAGAATAGTTTATAGATACTTGGTATCGTATAGGGTAGTTGGCCTTGTACGGAGTATCCTATACTTGACATTATCAAGGCCGTGGTAGAGGTGGCTACTGTTGACATTGTCAGTGTACGGACGGAACCATCTTGTCATTTTTCTAACGAAAGTACCATCTAGCTTCGAAATATCTTGCAGCTTCCTGTGGCTAGAGTTGTTACTTGGAGTTCACGGAATCCGACAGCACCTCCTCCTCCGGTTGGCACCGAGTATATACTCATGGAAAGGGGTTCCAGGCCGCTAATTATGCAACGTGTGGCCAACCATGTCCGAGTCTGAGCGCTTCGGCTTGGTAAAGAATGTGGTGGCCACACAAACGAAGTTGACAGCATCGGCACTGTCGAAATACTGCAGCACGACCAAAGGCTCTCTGCCACAAAAATTGGTTCTGTTGTTTCCTGAATCCTATCATGTTCATGTTCATCCTCGTTCCTCGATGGAATGACCGTGCCAAACCGCATTGTAAAACCTGTGAACCTTGTATGTAGGTCGGGGGAATTCTCCTCTCGTTTTGCGCGTGATAAAATTCGTGTGTTTCTCGTATCACCGTCACAGATGTGGTACGGGTAGGTAAACTACCCCCCTCCCTCCCATTCAAGTGATTTCAACCTGATCACATGGCCCATGGAAAAATTCAACACATAAATATTATCAAACCCGAAATTCCTCCACAAATCGCAAAGACCCCTACTCAGGAAAGAGACTGTCAGAGTCAACAAAACCAAAAAAAGAAAAATCAAGAAAGAGACTTATCGAAGTCAACAAGGTGGAATACATTTGGTTCTAGTAGGCGATCCTCCTCCTCTACCGAGCGAGAAAGATATATCAGGAACCTGGCACCGAGCCAAAAAAGGAGTCAATATATCTGACAACTACGAAAACAAACGGAAAAAACCTGCCACGGCGGGTTTAACTTCCCACCACCCCCTTCGAAAAGGGGCTGGTGGAAAAAGTTTTTTGTCTCCTGAGAGGACTAAGACGAGGGATTCTCGACCTGTGAATTAAATTTGTTTGTGTGCGTGTGTGGGTGAGTGTGTGGTTGTTGTGCCCTATGGTAGTTTGCGTTGGGCGGACTCCCTGCTGCAAACACCTCAGCTTTCACATCAACCAGACCTTTTAGCCAAGGACTTGCAAGGCTGAACAGAGCCTGTATAAATCACCTCCTCGATATGGAAGTAGCCAGCCATACACACCTAGTTTTACGTGTGGCCACAGAGACAGAATCTCCATGATGGGGAATGACTTGACAGATTTACATAACCGAGTGTACTTGATTGTGAAGCGGCCGGACAGTTGCCCAGAAACTCCTTACCAACGTGGTCGAAAAAAGGGTTATCGTGCCGCTGACCTCGCGAGCACGTAGGTATCAACTGTGGTAACTGTCCTTCGACGGCCGTCGATCCAGCCGCTGACTTGAGGTTAACCTTTCCAATTCCGTAGTGTCTGAACCTTCCCTACACTGAGTTGAAGACGACATCATGATATGGCGATTGGCACCATTTGCAGAAAAACACGACCAAGTGTTACAGTGCTTGCTGTTGTACCGTGAAGAAACGTACCCAGTACATGCCCCCAAGAAGCAACGTAGCATTCCAGCCCAAACGCCTCGACGTCACACGGTCCTGTGCATGTCGAAGGAAGCTCTTGGAAGATCGGGTACGTATACTTGTACATGTAAGCTGAACATCAAATCTCAGTCCACCACTACGGCAGTGTTGACGACTTTCCTCACATTCTACCCAACCAGGAGTTCTGATCGATATCTTACTCGTGACCAGTTGTTGTGTCACGATACTTGTGGGCAATAACGAGCGTAAATCAAGGATCGGATGAGACAGCACAACAGAACGTCCTTCAGGGGAGACAGAAGCCTTCTCAACATGTGCCAATCGCATCTTGAACCTGTGAGTCTTGCAGACGGGGAGGTTAGGTTCGTTTGCGCGTAATAACTTCGTGTCCAAAGGTCATCACAGATGCAGGTACTTCTTTTTTTTGAAGTGGTTCAATGTGAATGCTGTGTCGGAGAAGGCCATCACGATAGGAAGGAGATTTTGAGCGCGAATTATCCGTACAGGAAGTAGGTGGTAGAGCAGTTGGGGGTGTCGAAGCATCCCCTCGATATGATATTGGCGGTGCACTTGGATTGTAGGGGGAAGGCAGCGGCGACGAGGAAATCTTGCGTGTTGGAGATCTTGGCCTGGGGGATAAACATTACGCGAGCATATTTCGTCTCTAGCCTTTGTGCCCGACGACCTGCCTGGAGTGGCCCCTCTCGCCTCAAAGTGGCTTGGGTAGTAGCCATCATATCCTCAATCAACCAGGCCTCGTATCATTAAGAACCCGTTCCCCTGCTGTTGGACCATTATGTTGTCCGGTCGAAAGTCACCATGAGACAGACAACTCGATCACGTGTGCAGGCAATTCCCTGAGCACCATCGGAGGAAAGCCCGCCCCAGCCAGATGACAGTCTCATTGCGTATACCTCGGCACTCTGTAGCAGGGCTCAATCGGGATAATCTTCCATCTTGTGACACCCACTTGTGCACGGCCGCAACACCGACTCCAACAGCGTCTTGGTCAAAATGATCCAGGCAAGGGAAAAACCGAGACACGAGCAAAACCTTCCGAAGATGTGAGATACCCCAGACGGGAAGTTTAGCCACTGCACGGTCCGTACCGAGGCGTTGAGCAAACTACTCGTACTCCTACAAGTTGTAGGAACCTTTACGAACTCAGGGGTGGTGCTCACGCTACTCAGGAGACACTTCTAGGATCGTCTAGCCGGGTTCGGGTTTACACAGCCACGACTCAGGATAGTGTAGTCACAACCCAGGTCAAATAACGGGATGTTCGGGTCTAGAAACGGAAATGGACGCTGAAGAGGTCAAGATTCGCCGTGGGGGTAAAGTTCTATGTACCACGGTCCACCCCTGCGAAAAGTCAAAGACGCTGAAACCACCTTGTGACATCTTCAACCCTTCGCAGACCAGATATCCAACACTTTCGGGCACCATTGCTTTGCATTGGCACTGCCGGCTCGCGTACTACTCTCCATCTTGATGGTTTCCTCCATTTCGTATCCGTCAAATCGGTGTCGTCGGCAACCTCCATCAGATAATCAGTATCGACGTACTGGGATTATAGTGATTGAGTCCTGCGAGACATCGTCTCGACCCTAGAGAGATGTCAGAGCGACGGCTAAGTGGCTGCAATGGGTGCTAAACGCCTTTCCTCGAAGCTTCGCAGCGAGAATGTGGAGAGGGACTTCCACATCTTCTCGTGACTGCTCAAAGGGTCCTTCCTAGCCTCCAGATCGCGCATAGTATAGGTCATTTGAGAGGACAGTTGCTGCCGCCAATAAGATCGATTTCCGCATCGATCTCCCGACAGTAAGGCTGGCTATTCAGGAGTACGCTGCTCGCAACAATATGTTTCATTCAAAGAGTATGGCACTTAAATTCGCGGAGGACTGGACTGGGTTGGCAGGGCAGATTAGATTCGATATTGACAATCCATCGACAATCCTCAATGGATCAGCCGCAGATGAAAAAATGTGGATCAAGATCATCGAACTCTACCGCCACCAGCACATTATTTATGACAAGAACGCCCAACAGTGGCAAGCGAACTCTACGGCCAAACCAGAAACGCCGGACTCTACACCACAAACTGTTAGCACAACAAGAGATGTTCGGCACCTGCCTCTTGAGACAAAGCGGTACTCGTTCATGATGGGCGACTTCCGGACCGAGAAGAGCAGTCCGCGGCGAAATGGAATTCGGTCCGATTCACCTGACTCTGGACAGCTGAAACGGAAGCGCGAGCTCCTCGATGAAGGACCAGAAGAAATGCACAAGCGACAAGAGGTGGTAGACTCTCGTCCAGAGGACGCCGACCACAATGATCACGGTGCAGCCAATGCAGCCTTCAGGAGTTGCCAGGAGCTATCTTTGCTCAGCCCTCGGAAAGCTAAAAACGCGGCTGAAAAATTTGCGACGGACATAGGCGCAGGCCTGAGGTCTTATAAATCAGACCTGAACAAGGACACGGGCCGCAACAGGCGAAAGGAGAAGGTGGCTGAGAGGAAAAGCATAGGTAAAGCCATGTTCGTTAAGGCCCAGATGTCTGTCAGCGGTCTTCCCATCCAAAGTGCACATTTGTGGCTCATAGTTGCCAAAGGGAATCTCCAGCCACAAGGTAGGACGACTCGAGCAGTTGCCATAATTCCTGGAAGAGCGCTAGTCAGAAATGCCTGCCTCCTACCAGTCATGCTATCTTTTCAATGGAGCCTTTCCCCCTGATATCGAGGCACGGATATGCAATCCTGGATCGTGGCAGACAAGAAAGGAGATAGAGATAACGAATGCCGATCACTTTCATCCATCGTGCTCGCTCATTACGATCCTCTTCCTTGTTGACATCCTCGAAAGATTAATGTTCGAGTAATTGCCCTCTTTCCTCATTCGATTGAGCTGTATTAAGCGCATCCTGTTTCAATTGTTCTTCTTGTTGCTTAGCCTCATCGTAGTGACCCCATGGCACCCACCCCTCAGGCCCGGCGCCGATGATATCCTTACAGGCCTCGAAGCGCTCGTCCGCCTCGATCTGGGCGGCATTGAGCAGATATCCTGTCACGTGTCAGTTTACATTCCGGTCGATTACACGTTCTATAAGCGAAGCCTTGAACTGAGGCTGGGCCTTGGCGCCGCCATGGCGCTAGTGATGGATGATGAAAAGCAGCCACGAGGGTCATCACATTCGGCTAGTGTGCATCTCACCAAAAGCGCTAATTATTCCAGCTTCGCACCTTCGGTAGTGGCTCTTGGCGTTGACAGGCCCAGCTAGATTCAGTACATGCTTTTACACGCTCTTACACAAAATGGTACCGTCAGAGAAATACTGTACGCGTATCCGTCCCCGCCGTTTTTCGGCTCGGGCATTCTTACTCTCTTTGTCCGAATGGCACCGGCACTACTCGGTGCTGTCTCCGTCCCCGATAACACCTCACGTGATGAAGCCTCGGTTTTCACATGCCTCGATCAGCCGCAGTCCCGGTTCGTACCCACGTGCATGGTAGATGGACGATTCACTGTTTGTCCTGAATGCCGGCGGCTGGCTCTGGATCGAACCGCACAAATTTACAACAACATACCGTGAAATTCAATGTGAATGCCCTCAAGCATGTGGTAGCCAAGACAGTCAGGATGGACATGGTCCAACACTCAACGAGAACCGGGATCCGCACATTCAAAAGATAGCGATAGGTGGAAATTGATGATGAGACTGCCTGCCTGGCCACTGATTATGCAGTTGAATGAGATGGCATTGAGGTGCACACTCGCAATCGTTTTCAGTCAAGAAAGTTGAACCTTCGGCGTACTTACCGTGAGCCACTCTGACAAGCCTGAAGGTCCATGAAACTTCTGTTTGAGGTGTCTCTCAATAGTCTGGGCATATTTTAAGGAGTCAGTACTTTGGAGAACGAGAGGAAAAGAGATGCGAAGGGGGAAGAGGCAGTACGGTGAACCCCGAACGGTCCCTTGTTCAGCTTAGGGCGGAAGAATTCTTGATGGACCGCCCTCATCATCGTCAAAGTAGACATATGGGTCGCGCCATCCGTCTTAGTCTGGATCCCATTCGGTTGGAAGCGCAAGTGCTTATCATGGCAGGACAGGAGGTCGTTCACGTACGAGTCTCCGGTATTTTATGTCCCGTCTCTCGGGATTTCTAGGGGAATCTCATTGTTCTCGAGGTTCTTTATCTCCAGGGTGAGAGGTCGATTTGTCAAACGGACGAATCCTCGGTCGTCGATGGTGACGGGCCCGATGCGAGGGAACCCGACGCGGCCCATTTCTAGTATTACTCGTGACAGGCTGCGGAAGAGATTCTTGCGTAGTCGACTGTCCGACTTGCCCGTCTCCGAGGTGTTTGATAGCATTTGGCCTCGGTCCTGGTCGATGTATTCGATGAGTGAGTGGCAGCTTCGCACGGCAGCTTCTCATTACCATTTCCAGGACATAGGTTGTGCCCGACGCGATATGGCGGCGGAAACCGAATCAAGATTCGTCGTCCTCCGTTACGGACAACAGTCACCGGAACACAGAGGTTGAAGCTCCCACTCATCCAGTCTCTCCAGTGTGCGACGCGGCACGCAGAGGGAGATGGTAGACCCATATGATGTGCGACGCGATGCTGGATGAGCTTCTGGCGGCGGTTGATGAAGTTTTCAGAATTCGAGTCTCGCTTTGGGCCACGTCAGGTGGAGCAGGATGTTGACTTCGCTCTGTTTGGCCTCGCCGTAAGTGATGTCCTCGTGCAGAAGGGGAGCGTCGTGGGCGTTGCAGATAGATGCGTAGATAGATGCATGAATGAAAAGGAGGAAGGGATCTGTCTGCACGACGAATTCGTGGCGCATTGGTTTTGACTTTGTTGGGTGAGAGGGGAGGGGAGGGGGGGGTGGGTTGGAGGGGGTTCAAACGAGACAAACAAGACAAACACAACAAACAGGGAAGTGGCCCCCAAAGTCACGTGGTGTATCTTATCTTATCGCATTCTCTGTACATAGAATATTGGGGAATGAAGACTAGTCTATATGTGGCTAGCGTCACTCTACCGGTCACCCTTGACTGCAAGTATAGTTATGACTGATGATTGTAGTCCTGGCGCCTCTGGAAATATGGACCTCAGGCTAAATGAAAAGTATCGATAGGGGAGCTGGGCCCCTGTTCTCGGTCGCTGATACGTTCTTTCCTTGGTTACCTGACGATCATCCGCTGCCAAAGACGAACTACAACAATCTCAGGGCGGGAAAGTGCATTGTGCATAGCGAGTGACGTGCGACTTTCACCCCTCTCAACCCATCAACTGCAGTCTGACCCTACATCATGCTTTCCGGTACACTATGTCGATAGCTTTTTCACATTTCTAATGATCTCTGACACAGAGTTCATTTTCGACGGGAGTGGCACGGATGCCAAGACAATAATGAGCCGAAGTTGGCGCGGTACAAATTTGGTGTCGAGTTTGATGCGCACATACGTTGAACGTCCATTCATCCGTCATGATGAACCAGCAGGATGCCCAGAGAAACCGTTTGCTCCGAACTAAGCACTGGTTTGCGACAGGAATACTGGGGCTGAGACCCCAGTAATGAATGTCACCGCGAACGTTACATTCCACGACGCGCTCGGACCCTTCGAGTTCGTTGTTCCAATTCCAGAGCTATAAGTAGCTGTGGGAGGGCATCCTTTGTTGCTTTGTCCCTTTGTCCCCTCTCCTCTACTCCTGTCTTACCGTGTTCATACCAGCTCTGAGACTCCCTCTGTGATCTTCCGTCTCTCCCGCGTCCGAGGCTGAGACTTGTTTCTTTGTTTCTTGTGTCTCGTCGGAAAGCAAGACATCACCGTAGCCCTCTCTGGTCATTCCTCTTGTCGGAAGGCGAGACTTTGATTCACCACCATATCTTCCAGCTCCATTCACTGCCTCAAACATGGATTCAGAAGGCAGTGTGGGTGGTTCCGGCTCGCCCACATATCATCGCAGTGGTCAGAATACCTTCACGCTCTTCCATTCCAACCGCTAACAACTCTCAGATTATCCTACCACTTCTCAACGCAGGCAGAGCTCAGCAGCCAGACGACAGTCTCCAACCGGAATCGAACAAGCCCGTGCATTTCTACAGCAATTTTACAACTTGAAATCGACAGCCACAAACTACGATCTCGAGAAGGTCTTTGTCTGCAAGATATCTGAGATCGAGTGGTTAGTTCTATGCCACGAATTCAATCTTGACGACGAAAGGCGTCAAGCGTACGTTCAAATGCTTCATATCATTCTCTTCCCTTCTGGCGTCCGTTGTTCCTTTCGGGACACATTTACTGACCGCTGTCCATAGTTGGCCTCGATTTTCATTCAACTCCCATACATCAACTCTCAAAATATATGCTACGCAATCCTGTTTCCACGACGGCGTTATCACTTTTCTTCGTGACCATTTTATTATCCTCTTTCATCGAGTCCTTCCTCAACAGCTCCGCAAAAGGGTCAAGATTCATACGACCGTGGAGGAAGAGGTGTTTGAGGCAGAATATGAAGGTTCATTCAAAATCCCGGATCTCGGGATCTCTCTGCGGAAGAATGACAGTCCTGAACGTGAACTTCAATGGGTGCTTGAGGTTGGTTTCTCTGAAACCTATGAAGACCTTCAGGAAGACATGCGACTCTGGCTCACTGGTCAACCGACATGTTCTATGGCCGTTCTAATCAACATCACGGAAAGTCCAGCATACCGATGCCCACTTGATTTCGACTTGGATATTTGCGATGAACTCAATATACCTCGGGATTCGCCTCGTCAGATCAAGGAAGGAGACTTCTCACTTCAGGGGGAATACGGCCCAGTGGAGTTTAAAGGATACCAGTGGGTAGGACAAATCTCAGAAGTATATCTTGAGACTTGGACTCGCAATCCGAGAACCGGACAACCAAGGCGAAGAGGAGGTCGCATGTCTTTACTCCCTCCAGCAAACGAATCTCCTCAATTTCGACTCTCCGACCTTGTCCCCGTTGACGACCCTCAAATGACATCCGTGGATTGGGAAGAACTACAAACGGAGCTCAAGGACTGCCTTCAATTACAGGCTGCCAAGAGATGCCGCGCGTGGATCAAGGAATCCAGAAAACGTGCAGGGTTGGATGACGGCGAATTTGACGGGGCTTCTTGAGGGGGTTTTCCAAATCGATGTCGGGTATGGGGAGGGGGAGGTAGAGGAGTCTTCTGATGACGCTGGGGGTTTTATTTTTTGAGCCTCGAGCGTGCACTTGCATTAACAGTGATACTCAATCCTTTCTTCTCTTCCTTTAACAACAAACACCTCACTGTACTTGAAGCAAAACTCTGCCCCTCTTCTCCCCCCAGGGCCCTCCTCCCCTCCGCTCCGGCTTACTATCACGTCATGCCGTCACAAGATTGTTCGTATCCCCTTGCGCGCTCAGCCTTATCTGTGACACAGCCTTGTGTGAAACACCCCAGTCCATCTTGGTGCTGTATAAGAATGCTGGGTCAGCAGCGAGACGTAGGAGCAACCCCCCGACATGGTAATGCTTGGTCTGCACCCACGACTTTCACCAAGAACTCGGTCCAATCTCTCTCGACGGACCCCCACCCCATCAGCGCCGGACGGTTAGACATACCAGATCTCCGGCCGCCGGAATGCATATTGAGAAGAGAGAAGCAAAAGAGAAAAGAACACCGCTACACTGGCCTCCTCATCTGGGAGTTGGAGCCCCCTCCCGTCATTCCCCACGTCATGCATCAAGCAACTTTGGCTGCTCTGTGAGCACCTCCGGTGCTAGGACCTTGTCACCCGTGGTCTCGGCGAGATGGATGTCCTCGTACGCGATCTCGTCGCCGAACAGTTTCGGAATCTCTTCTAGCGGGAGGTTGCGCGTCTAGGTGTGAAGATATACTTGTTAGCTGGGAGGGGTTCTGGACACAGCTACACACAAACACACACACGGAGAGAGAGGAAGAGAATAAAATCAAGGACAGCAACGAGGCAAGGTGGCACTTCAACAATGAACCTACCTCGGGATAAAACAAGAGGACGACGACGAAGCACAGAATCGAGTTGGCCACAAAGACCATGTAGAATTTCCAGCCAATGTTCTCGAAGCCGATCGGCGCCGACTGCGTCCAGCAGATGGTGGACGCGTAGCACGCTGCGAAGGCGATGCCGTTGCCCGTGCCGCGGTTGTGGTTAGGCCAGATCTCGGCAGCGTAGACCCAGGACGAGGCGTCGATGAATGTGCCGTAGCTCTGCGGTTGTAGGTGAGTCAGTCAATCAATCAATCAATCAATCGATCAGTCAAGCGGACAAGCAGTCAGGAAGAGGCAGAAGAAGTTCAAGAGGTAGCATGTCTTACAAAAGCGAAGAAGTAGAGGAAGAAAATGGCTCCTCGGGCATATGACTCGTTGCCCGTGTCGGTGAACTTCTTCAACAAGGCCCCTTCCCCGGCGACGCAGACGCAGAGCAGAAACGATCCGATCACTTCATTGTGCCGTATGGTCAGCCATTTTCTATATCTGCCTCGTCCTCTTCCGAGCGAGCGCTGGGGGGAGGGCGGGGGGCAAGGGGGGTTCACTCACGGAACATGGTCTTCCGACCCAGACGATCGATCAAGAACGGCGCGACGGCGTTGAAGGGGATCGTGACCGAAATCCATCCGGCTCCCAACAGCAGTGCGCGGCTCCCGGTGTATCCGAGTGCGTTGTACAGCTGGACGCTGTAGTTGTTGATGACCAGGATGCCCATGGCCTGCGAGCTCCAGAGGATGAAGCATGAGAAGAACAGGCGTTTGAGGTTCGACTTTCGAGTGACGATGCCGAATTTCCCTTCCTTTCGCCGAATTGCCTCGTCGAGTTCGTACTGTTTCTTGATCTCGACGGCTTCCAGTCGTGCAAAGTGGTCGCTACTTGCCGCGTCGCGGTCTGGGTGTAGTCGTGACAGGAGACGGATCCCTTCATCCTCGTAGCCGTGCTCGATCACTAGTGGGGAGAAAAAAAGTGCGTGTTAGGCTGTGAACCAAAGAAAGAAGACACGAGACAACAAGGAGAACAGAGCCTCTTGCTTACACCAACGAGGTGACTCGGGAATGATGAACGACAACCCCAGCATCACCACAGCCAACATGCAGCCAACGGATATGGGGAATCGGAAGCCAAAGGTCCCTTTGTCGCTGGCAAAGAAGCAGCCGTATCCGACCCAAGACGCCAACGAGTAGCCCCCAGCGGAGAACACGCCCGCTTGGCCGACGAGAAACCCGCGAAAGTGCGGCGGGGATATCTCTGACTGGTACACCGGGACGGTGGAGAAGAGCGATCCGGTACCCATGCCGGTGATGACGCGAGAGACCTGGTACATGGCCACGTTGCGGGTCCCGGTCTGCAAGGCGCTGCCGATGATGATAAAGAACAAAGATATCCACATTGTCTTCTTCCGCCCTACCCTGTCTCCAATGGCCGTGATGATACAGCAGCTGACGAATGAGCCGAGAAAGTAGAGAGCGTTAGCAGTCGAGGTCACGGATGTGGTGTGGGACGTGCCCATGGTCAGGTCGAGGTACTCGTAGAACGTTGGCTGTCCCAACGTGCTCGATATGACGGCTAGACGAGTTTGTTAGCGTGAGAGCATATGCGATGAGGTTGCGGCAAGCACATCGAGGTCATATATACCCATGTTGTATGCACTCGCAAAGATGCCAAACCCAGCCAACCACACCAGGTACATATTGTACCAACTCCACGTCTCCATGTTGGGCAATGTAGCGACGAGAGGCCTTCCTTTTCGTCGACTTGGTCAATACAATGAGGTGGCGACAGCGCTAAACGTAGCGAAAAGATGGTCGTCAAACTGGCCACTTTGTATCCTCGGAGCAATAGTAAAAGCTGCAAGAGTGCAGAAACCCAAAAAGAGGCTGCGATTTTCCCAAGATATATGTGCTAGTACGTACTCTTTCCTCACGGCCCCAAAGCCGAGGTCAGACTCGGGCCAATTGCGCCACGACGGCTCCTCGTGGGGGTAACAGACATGGCTACCAGTGAAGAAGGCCGTTTAGCCCAGCGGGGCCCCAACTTGAATGGAGTTGTTGAGATATTGCGCTGTGTCGCATGGCCCACAAGTTTCCACTTGGGATGAAGCAAGGTTGGAGAAAGAGCCTTTCTGATATACTCCAGCTGGTGCGGCCGGTATTTCCCGGCGCCAATACACTCGGTTATCCGTTTTCGACAACATTTTGCCGACACTATCATAAGAATAGGCACCAATGAACCGAATCAGGTTCGTCAGACGTTGAATCGGGGACGAGATGCCACATCCATCAAAGGGGCACGGGTACTCCCAGTTTGTAATTAGTCGCCGAGTACTCGTATCGAGCAGGCGCGTCGCTTAGAGAGTTTCGTCAAGAGATCCTGCTCGTGAACCTTTTTACTCAAGGGGGCTCGGTTCTCGGATAGAGTCCGTATTCGGAAGTAAGCCGAGAGCCAATGGGAAAAGAGGGCGACAAAATCGACCAATCACAACAAGGCTTTTTAAGCACAAGCTTCCCGTGTGTACGAGGTACGGCACTCTTGATCGCTTTTGTGCGCGATCCTTGAACCAAGCTAACACCTCAAACGTGGCAAACAGGCCAAGAATTGACCGTGCTGCCTCATTTATCCAAGATCTAAAACGGTCAAACACACCAACCTTCACTTTGACGCCACAAGACTGTCTTCACGCGGAGGTAACAATATCCCATATTGTGGGCAACTTCCAGCCTTAGATAGACGGCAACTTCAACGAAAGATCCGGCCAGGCAGAGTTCGTTAGAGTAAGGTTGAATGATCCGTTTGGAGGGCTTCGCCTTTGTTCTTGGGGTCCCCCTCCTACTATGACCGACGGAGATTTCTTCAAGGGCCGATTTTCAGTCTCTGGCCAATATTCCGACCATGGGCATTGCGAGTATGCTTCCATTGAAGCGAGGACTGGTCTTTTCTCGCCTGACCAGACCTTTAGTCCACCGAACGGCAAGCAGAATGGTTCACGATACCGTACAGCCAATTGAGGAGCAGACCCTCTCACGGTACCACCAGAAACTCCATTACCCAGTCAAGATTGGAGACATCCTCAACAATCAGTGAAAGTCTGCGTGCAGGACACAGAAGGCTCACCGATCCTCAATGAAGTCTCGATGATCCCAGCATCCCAGTCTTGACTGACCGTGGCCCGATCTACGCAACACGACCCATGGCTCCTGAGCTTTCTGGCGCCCCCGTGGTCACCGACTTCGGCCAGATGCGACCCATGCTGACGCTGAGCACTGACTGGTGGATGCCGGACCTGGACCGAGCACCAGAGATTCTCCTGAAGCTCCCATGGTGGTTCCCCGTTGACGTGTGGTCTGTTGGCGTCATGGTACGCATCTCGGCCGCCCTGGCGTTATGACGCGCACATGGGGAGTTGCTGAATGAATTACTAACCAATAGAGAGGGTAGATGCTGGAGCTCCTCGAAGGAAGAAACCTCTTTGATCCCATCGACCGCGCCAACAACCATTATGTCCTGCCGCTAGCCCTGGCTCAGTACATCGCCTATCTGGGTCCTCCGCCCCTGGCCATCGTCGAGCAGGTAACTGGACATCCGAACCACCAATCCCCAACACATCATTCGAAGACTTTGTCACCGTTATCCCTTCGGGCGAAGAAAAGGAAACGTTCTTGACACTGATTCGAGGCATCATGACCTGGGATGCCGAGGCGCGATTGACAGCAAACAAGGCATTGCTCCACGGATGGATGATGCGGGCTTACAAGCAGATGCTCTGAGTCCAAGGGCACATGGATATCTAAGCTGTAATATTGGCTGAGACCTAGGCTGGCCGGCACAGACATGGATCACAGAAGAGCGCTGGCATTCCGGAATCGTGTACAGCCTGAAAACGGCGTGACTATTTTATTCGGAACATGGGAGTTGTCAAGGACTGTCGACAATATGGTGGCGGTGGCAATGCGCATCCACGTCTTGCAAAGGGCTCTACCGGATATGTGTTGCGTATTTGACATGTTTGACATGTTCGACATGTATCCTGTGCTACTGCTGTACGAGCGCGCGCACCATTTGAATGACAAATGTTACTTACTATGACAGGATATTTCCTGAGCTTGTAGGCCCCCTTACCTATCTCTTAGCTATAAGTTAGAACGAACAGGCGGCGACCTAAGCTATATTCCCAGGCGTTGAGCATTGAGCTCTGATATCTCCGGGGCGGTTCTAAGGGGCAACGAAAAGAAAGTCTGTCGTCTTTTGATCAGCGCGTCCGCAGTCATCACTGTCCACTCTTACTAGCGTTAACAATACTTTTCGTGCGCGCCTTGGTATCTATTATGTTTATCGTGTTTACTATAACGTGCCCTCCCGGAAAAACTATTGTCAAGCCAATAGAACAACCGTCCATGTCTATCTCCCACTGAGATAAGAGAGTCTTCGTCGATGGGCGGCACCTTGTCCCTTTTTCTCTCTCTTTTGGATACTCTGTAGGTTAATGCCCGCCGTTGAGTTTCACAACCGCCAAAGAACAACGTGTAAATGACAGTAGGCGCGATTTTTCTCCCAAACATAGGCAAATGTCAACATTAGGCGCTAGCAATGAACTAGATACTTTGGGCTACCTTGGGCTATCAGTGTTGCAGACTAGCAGACCATGGCGTGATTGCCGGGACCGAAATTAGGCCAATGGGATACAAGCACACGTCGAGACGGGAGAGTGGACTCGGCGGTAAGTGAGTGGGGGGCCCCTCAATCATTTGACCAACAGCTCAGCTCAGCAGCTTGTTTGAGGCCAAGGGTGCGGCTGAGCCCAGCGATGATTGAGCTGGTCTCCTCATAAACCTGGGCGTCCCTGATTTCCTCATCATTGATTTCTTCGTACCCGTCCTCGTCCTCATCCTCATCCTCATCCTCATCCTCATCCTTGATCTCCTCGTACTCATTTTCTGCATCTTCAATCTTGATCTCCTCATACTCTGGCTCCTCATCCTCTATTGTGCTTTTCTTGATGCCTGTGTCGCTTTTCTTATTCTCGATGCTACTTTTCTCAGCTGCCCGGCCCCTCTTTAATTCGAGATATTCATGAAACCACATTTCATCGTCGTCAAGTACGGCATCGTTGGGATTATTAGGATCTCGTCGCCTAAGGCCGAGAATGGGAGATCCGACCGGTTCTGGAGATGCGACCTGCACTGCTGTCCCCTCGGCGCGCTCCCCGCAACCTTCCGGATCACAATAATACTGCAGTGTCGCGTTTTGATCGATGCGCAGATACAATAATTTGGATGAATCAGATCGTAAGAATGCTCGAAAATGCTCGAAAACCGTGTACGCGAAACGGGCGTAGAGGAAATGGGTATGGAAGCCCAGGTCACGCATTCGAGGTAATTCCACTCCGTGGTGAAGGCGAACAAGCTCAGAATCAGGATCGGCGTTCATGCAGTAGCCCACCCAGCGGCTTTTCATGGGCACAACGGTGAACATCTTCGCATCAAGCGCGGCCCTTAAGTCCCCACCCAACCGCACACTATTGTCTGGATCTTGCATCTTGTCTCGAATCTTTGTGGCAGAATACGTCCACATGTATTTGCTGAACCACCTCCTCTCGGCCATTGGAATCAGATGTGTATCTTCCATGTCGTCCTCGCATTGAGTGGCGCGGCAAAGGCTGTCATCATCTTGTGCTGATGATTGATTGGAAGCCACAGTTTCATTCCACCAGTGGGGGGGACCCTTGGTTGGAAAGGCCCACTCGCTAAACGTCGGGATAACAGCATAGTTTGAACCTGTTCTGTTTAAACATGAAACAACTGATTCGGGCGTCACACTTACCCCTCTTCTGTGGTGATGTCTGATAGTAATATTGTGGCGCTCTCAGAATCTTTTGTGCATGTAGAATACGATGTTCACCCTCCTTATCTAGTGAGAGATAACCGGTCCAACGATTGTCATCGACAACAGAGCACGCCGCCCAGGCCGTGGCATGATGAACGCCGCCTTCATCCAGACGAGGGAAGGTGAACATAGGGTGGTCATGGTAGGGGTGCTTGATGTGGATAGGCGGTGAGGTGGGTGGAAGTGACGGCGGCGGATATGGAGACTCGACTAATCTATCGCTGGCGGAGTTGGTCATTCTGGCTCCGGTTCAACGCTATTGTGACTATCCACGCTGACGATGTGGGTTCGTACCAGAGCGCGGGCACGGCAGACACCGCATGGCACAACAGCGCAGGCACCAGGGCAGCGCCAAGCCCCAAACCTGCCACGTGATCAAAACTCTAGCTGCCCCTCACACCGGCACCTCGTGCATATCGCAGTTACACATTAATACCAGCCACATCAAACCACGGGACCGAAGGAGAGGCTGTTCGAGAAAAGTATCTCTGGGACTGACTCATCTGAGAGTCTCTAGGTACTGGCGGTCTAGAATTCATGCCATCGAGGATACCGCCTGTCCCTCGCCAGCTCAACTCGGCTCACAGCACTACTGCTCCGACCGCAGCACGGCGCAGCGCAAGATGAAGCTGATTCTTTCAACCTCGTACGCATTGAGCCCGGGCCCCCCAAAATGACCTCATCCTAACAGGTGAAACCATTGCTGACATTCACCGTCAACACTATCTAGCAATATAATGTCCTCGGGACATTCCGTCGTGCGGCGGCCACTGTTCTCGCGATCAAATATCGAACTTATCAATTCCCTCCGCGCAAATTTTGCCTCCTTCAAACATTACTCTCCCACTCACCCTTCCACACCTAGTGCAGCTGAGCACTTCACACCGCCCGTATGGACGACTCAGGAAAATGATACCCTCTATGTGCCGTCGTTGCGGCCAACGCCCCTCGTTGAACCCCGCGACTCGTACGACGTTACCTGCAAATTATTCTTCCTCCCCGGCATCCCGAGTACTCGACGGTGCCGGCACACCCGAGAAGCCATCGATTTGGTCCTAAAAGAGCTGGGGATTGACACTATTGATCTGTTGATTGTTTCATACCCCGGGGTGACTTTTGACGCAGACGACGAAGAGGGGGACGAGGAAGCGGAGCAGGCTTCCGCAGACGAAAACCCCAGTGAGGCCAGCGACGAGTCCGAAGGCTTGGAAGCGCAGGTCAAGACCTGGCAAGTACTAGAATCGCTATATGACAAGGGCGTCATCTCGCAGCTGGGCGTGTCCGAGTTTAGTTCGGAGAGACTCGCGAGATTTCTACCAGAGGTCCGAGTTCGTCCCAAGGTCGATCAGATCAACGTCAAGGACTGCTGCGTCGTGCCCAAGTCGCTGATCATGTACGCAAAGGAGAACAAGATTGAGCTCTTGACACACGCAGACTGCATGGACATTTTACCGCCCGGGACGACGAGGGATTTACTTGGGCCGGGTAATGACGGCGCTGGCATTCTGGCTGCGCACCCTGATGGCGGACCCGAAGAACCCGGCTTGAAGGGCGATATTGAGCCACAATGGGTCATCAAATATACCGCCGTGGTGAAAAACCGCGGCGTCATCGAAAACAAAGGGTATTTTGCCGTCGCGCAACTGGGAAGCTGTATCGAGGAGAAGCCGGACCAGGATGTGCTAGCATCATGAGCCCTCGAGCATTTCCCTCCACAAGGTGATAGTTAAACATGAGCTTTATTTAGCATGGCGTTGAAAGAGGCAACGATTTGGCGCCTTCAATTCATCCGATCATGCTCCTTTTCCTGCCTCTCAGCCTCACTTCCTCCAACCTTTTGAGCACGACGCTGGAGTCCTTGAAACTGCCCCTGTATCCTTCCTGACTCTGCAAGACTTCGGCATCAAACCATCCCTCCTGTCTCGGGTGCGTCGATCCAAACGCCCGCTCGAGGACATAGAGATCCACGGCCCTGTCTTCGTCCTGGACTGACTGCGTCGCAAGACCAAAGTCGATGAGTACAATCTCGCCGGTCAGATCGGGCGGTTGCAGACGCGGTGCGGCTGTTTTTTGCTCAGATCGTGGACCCGGCTCTGTATGCACTCGCTCGCCGTTGACCGTCCCGTTCCGCTGCCCATTTGTGTCCTGTGGAGAAGTGTAAGGACGGATCATGATGTTGCTGCTCGTCAAATCACCGTGGACCACGCCTCCTTTGGCGTGCATCGCTCCCACGGCCCGGCCGATGCGGCGCAGCAATTTCTTCACCGCTTCTTCCTGTTGCGCAGCAATCCCGATGCCGCGTCGTGATTGTTTGTCGTTATCTTGTGCGTTTGCCTGGGCGTGGGTGGGGAGGGATTTGGACCAAGCGTCCCAGTCGCGCAGCAGGTCCTTGACGCTGCGCCCTTCGATCCACTCCATGAGGAGCCACGCGCCTTGTCCCACGGCGGAGCTCGTCTCCCTCGGTCCTCGCTGCGAATCGCTCGCCCCACGGACTTTCCGCGCAATATCCCACTCCAGGCTCAGCACCGCGGGGACCTTGACTGCGCCGTCCCCATCCCCGCCGGCGGCGTCGTTCAGCGCCGACAACTTGACGAGGATGCGCGCTTCGGCGAGCACCCTCTGCTTGGTTAGGCGCGCGTCGAGCGTGGGGTGTCTGTATGCTTTGCTCGGTCGGAATTTGAGGGCCGCAGGCTGCGCCGGGTACAGGAAGTGGGTGCGGTACAGGAGGGCCTCGGCGCCTTGGGTTACCAGCATCGGCGGTGGTTCCGTGACGTGGAAGGGAGAAGGTAGCATGGCCCTATCTTGGTTCTGTGGTGCAGGAGGGCCGGCGGGAGGCAGGGGATTTGCGGCGTCGGTGCTTGTCATGGTGGGATGTGATGTGGCTCAGCGTGATATGGAGCGATTGTCGCAAGGGCGGTCAACGGCCGGATGGTATTGGGATGGGCATCATTGGAGATGAAGAGTGGCTCACCAGTGTGATTGATATGTCAAGAACTCATTTCTAGCGATGAAGAGAAAATTGGTCGCGACGGAAACAATGCACGAGTTGAGTTTTTCGAGCATGTGAGGCTGCGGGGAAATTTCCCCAAGGCTAATAATACGTAGTCAACTAATATTGAACATGCTATTCTGTGGTCTAGCATTTCGCGTTCATTAGCGATGAGCTATATTGATCGGCTCGGTCAGCTTTCTCATCTGCAAGTGTCTCTACTCAAGCCATGTCTCTCTCGTCGTCGATGTTGAGTTCCTCTTTCGATAGTGATTCGCGCTCACTCCACGGTCTGACAGAAAGTTGACGCGCTCCCAATAGCGATTGAGGCGGGCGCCAGATTAAACATAGCTTATATTATTAATAAGGATAGAGGTGCTACTATACCTAATGATAGTTACCTTGAAGTTAATAGTGAATTGCTCTTCATTGCTATTTCTTGTTGGACAATGCTCCTTATTTTCAATACATATCGACTCGGGATGTTGTCAACCATCTCGGTAGACTTTCCGAGATATTATACTCACGTGATCAAAGCCAAATATAGTTGGTCTAGGAGGCCCAGAGGGTTTGGACGAGAAGATCCGGTGTGAAGCCACGACATTCGCCTGGCTTTCTGAGAACTGCTCTCAAATACCGATCTATCGCCCTTGGAGATTCGGACTTCTTGACGGGCCCAGTGTATGTCTCATAATGATGGAGATATTGAGATATTTGGCTCACCTAGCTCTCGTTTACGCCCGTTGCACATCTCCCCTGGTACAGGCGAATCATTGAAAGCTCCAAGCGGCACTGGGACTGGCTTCCGGCAACGGTCGTGTTACGTTCCCTTTGTCCCACGCCAAGCTGGACTTTCATTGAAGTCGAGCTACCTCGTGGATTTCATTGAAAAGGAACAAGGAAAGAATGTAGAATCGATTAATGATACAACATCACTTGCATCCCGGACCTTAAATGGATATCTATTCTACCGGTCGAGGCACTCTATCTACCATATTAGCTGAGCGGCTAGATAGTCGACGATCTTGAAGAGGAGAAAGAGATCCACTATAAAGAGATATGTGCGAAGTTTCTGGAAATCTTCCAGCAAGGGAAAAACGACTAGATCTCTGCACCGAACCCCGGATTCTATATAAAAGTTATTAAAGATGCTCTTGAAAGAGCCATACCCTGGTTCTGGGTCACTTTGAACAAACCCCGTGTGACGTACAATCTGTTCCTTGACCGCTTGCAGCCCCGACTCTCCGACTCGCTCCGACGCACTTAGAAGGAGAGAAATGTGTCCAGTTCGAGCAGATTTTGGTTCCGTATTGGATCCCGAATGCATCCGGATTCGTCAAGCAAAAGCTTGCTGACCGTCAATAGTATCTTGAGGGCTCGAGAGCGCAACATCGACATCGATACCTTTGACACAAAGACGAGGAACTGTCTGACTAATCATACCAGACAGAGATATCTTCTGATATCAATCTAATTACATTTTATTGCGACCGCGTGCATTGCAATGAGGTATACGAATGAGGTACGACGCATATGAATGACAAATTATACTATTTCAGAAAGTGGGGTGTAATACAGAGTACTAACCGAATCACGTAGTAAACTAACTATTTAGAGTCTGGGAGAAAACTCTAGTTCTTATTCCAGCTAGTTAAAACTACATGCCTTCCTTGCCACGACCTTTCGCTTGTGAAGGGCAAACGTCCTGCCTGACTGCAGTCCAATTTAAACCACACATGAGTCATGGCTTTCAGTCTTGCCAACACACTGATGATGTCGAGTGGACTGCGAACACTGCAACTGCCATATATCCATTCCAACCTGTCTGAAACTTCACATTGCTGGAATGAGGTCAAGGAGAGATGGTGAGAAACAATGCCGAGGATACTGGGTATGTGAGATTTGAGGTCAGGCCAAGCGAAACGCGCCAAGCAAAGAATCACGTGCGAAACCTTTTCAGGCTAGTAAGCAAACCTTGTTAATATAAAGCCCCGTCCGAGAGTGGTGAGGCAAGCATTTTTTGATGTTTTACTTGGTGTGTTATTTCACTCGACCTGTCACGGGGATATCTTGCCTCTGAGCCTGTCGCGAGGATATCTTGCCTTTGAACCTGTCGCGAGGATATCTTCACCTGTCGCGGGGCTATCTTCACCTGTCGGGGGCTGCTAGTCCCGTTTTCACTGGTCTTTCTCACAACAGACAAAGATGGAAGGAGAACGCCAAGATGATGCTGCAACAACGCCGCCGTGCTACATGGGCGCTCTTCCACCAACCCGTCCCTCAACAGGCGAGAAGGCATCGATTAATCCGATCTTGGAGGCGGTTGACCGATACAAGAGAGGCCAATTCGTCCCCGGCGGCCGCTTACTGAAGTTTCACATTAGTGAGCTCGAATATCAAGAATTGGAGGAAAAGCTTTCTGAAGACCTGTTCTTCAAGGCTAAGATCTCGTAAGTGACTCCATTCCACAAAAAAACTACTTACCAAAGATACAGGCGCGACTACTTTCCTTCACTACGCCTCTTCGTCCTTCGAATGCCGTCGGATATTCACGAACGCTTCCTTGTGAGGCTTCACGATGAAACTCGACACCAACTGCGGAACCTCGAGGGACCCTCGTCAAGCTTTGCTCAGGAGATTGAATTCATTGCCTCAACACACCTTCAATCCCACAAGAAAAGGGTTTGGGGTACACGATCCGGATGGTTCATTTCGCCATAGGTCACAACGTTTCCCTGGCGTAGTGACGGAGGTCGCATATTCACAAGACAACAAAAAACTACCACATCTAGCGGACGAGTACATCCTGGGCTCGAATTTGCGCGTTCGTGCCTTGCTTGGCTTCGATATCCAGTACCAGAGAAAGAAGGCCTTGGTTTCGGTCTGGCGTCCACATGCGGTGCAAGGAGATGACAGGGAGGTGTGGGCCACTGCGGCTGAGACCCAGGTGTTTCGAGACGACAACGGAGAGCCAAATCTTGATACACATGCTGGATTACGTGTCAGCCTACGAGACTTTGCGAGTGTCGAGTTTTGCAAGAAGTTCGAGAACCTGAAGGGGTCAATTTTTATTTCATGCGCCACTCTCTGCACCTTCCTAAACGAAGCCGAGGCCAAGATTGATGACGAGTCAGAGTCAGAGCCTGACCTCGAACTCGAGGTTCATGCCTCATCATCGGAAGAGGAACTCAACACCGACGACGAGAGAGATATGGTTCGGGCAGAGAAACATGCGGAGGAGAACGCTGGCCGAGCCGATCCGTCTTTCAAATAGCTCGTCGATGACGAGCACGAATCATGTATTACTATCGGAAGAGGAACTTCATGTTACCCTGACTCTATCAGGAAGGTTAACCAAATAATCTCACAGCGGTACGTCAGCCCGTAGGCCGCGCTAGATAGATTTCCTTCCTACCAAGTAATTAATGAAGATTTCACACTTTCACTCGCTATAAGACATGTCTCTGCTTTTGACGATTCTATGCGGAGGATTTGCCGATACAAAAGCATCCACTCCTTCACATCCAACGATCGCGGACACGTAGAAAGCAGAGCCTCCTTGACAACTCCACATCCTCCTATTCTCACCGTCAAAGCCCAATAAACGCTTCGCCACTTAACCTCTATGCCATTCGAAGTCCTGGGCTTTCGACAATACGACGCCAATACATACTCCGGACTGCGGTCTCACGATTCTCTTCCCAGATCGCAACTCAGCTCGGAATGCCATCAGCAGTGACGCACCCGCGGTGCCATCGTCCAGGCATTATGAGTGTTTGGTAATCCACAGCAAAAAGGTAAAAGAGTCAACTCAACTCTCAAATACCAAGTACAATGAACGAAAATCCAAGCACCTTTGTACAGCGGAAACGCAGATCTAAGTTCCAAGCTCTCAAAACATGTCGAGTAGTTACTGGGCGTGATTGATGTCCTTCGACGTTCGACATATTGTGTACGGACGAAGGTTGTAAGGTCGGCGGCGGGGTCTTCCGACAGCTTCTTCGCTATCCTTCGGAGGACCTGTACGTTGAACTGGGCAGCCGAGGTGAGTGGGTTCACGACTTTTGAAGCTGCTTGCTGCTGTGTCGGTACCATTGTTGCCCATCGCACGATGCCCATTTGCCTCGAACTATCAGGCAAGTTCCATGAAATGGAATACCTTGCGACCTACGAGGTGGTTCATCGAAAAAGCCGCCATCTGCGGGCACCTTGAGTCCGAATCCAGAAGGTAAATCCTGGTTCGACAGCGACCACGGTGAGCTCAAGTTCTTCGTGATGTCTGGGTGTGCGAAACAGGTCTGTACATGCGACGTAAGCAATTTTCCGAGATCTGGCACCCTGGCCTGGGCGAGGTGAGCACAAGGCACCAACACCGCTGTCCCGAGCTGGGGATGAGCCACGAGAGCAAATTGTGACCCACAGTAATCAACGCGACAGGCGCCTTCACAGGGCTGAGGAGTTATAGCTCAGCCTTGCTGACAAGGCTGAGTCAAGACTGGGATCAAACGGCAAGACGAGCTAGTCCGGAAACGGAAGCGGACTTTGGAAAAAGGTTACGATTCATCTGCGCTCTCCCTCGTCCCCTCTGGTGTACGTCATGCCATAAAATCACTACAAGGGATGAAGGACGGTACCGAGTACGACGATTGTGATCTCGGAGGACACTGGCGACAGATTGCGGAGGAAAAGGACAAGGCTTTGCAAGAATTTCACTTATTGTTTCTTTAAAGCGGCATGAGATCAGTCCGTAAGAGGGATCGCGCAGCATGGGGCTTGGCACAAAATTCTGGGCTCCCGCCCGCAGTTTGTGAGTTGCCCGCACATGCGATCAAGCCCGCCGTCGAGTCACAACTCTTACATTCTTCTTTCGTTACTCACAAAGAGGTCTCACATCCATCCCTCGTCATCGAAGCTATACCATCTGCACGCAGGAAGAGGGTTCCTCTGCGTCCACACCGTCAGAATGTCGGACCCCAACTCGCTGACGAATTGTCGCTTCTACGAGGAAAAATATCCGGAAATCGATAGTTTTGTCATGGTGAACGTCAAACAGGTAGGTCCCAGTGTCCCAAGTCCGCCGGCGGTTCTAACACGGTGGCTTGAACAGATTGCAGAGATGGGCGCCTACGTTAAACTCCTAGAATACGACAACATCGACGGCATGATCCTCCTCTCCGAACTCTCTCGAAGACGTATCCGATCCATACAGAAACTCATCCGCATCGGTCGCAACGAAGTCGTGGTGGTCCTCCGAGTAGACAAGGAAAAGGGCTACATTGATCTGTCAAAACGAAGAGTCTCGGCCGAGGACATTGTGCGTTGTGAGGAACGGTACAACAAGAGCAAGTCGGTCCACTCCATCATGCGGCACGTTGCGGAGAAGACGAAGACACCCATTCTGAAGTTGTACGAGTGCATCGGTTGGCCACTCAACCGGAAATATGGCCACGCCAATGATGCTTTCAAGCTCTCCATCACAAACCCGGACGTGTGGAACGACGTGACATTCCCCAACGAGGTTGTCAAGGAGGAATTGATGACATACATCAGCAAGAAACTGACACCGCATCCGACAAAAGTGCGGGCCGACGTGGAGGTGACGTGTTTCAAGTACGACGGCATCGACGCTGTGAAGGCGGCTCTGAGGCAGGCTGAGGCAAGAAATTCTGCGGAAACACAAGTCAAGGTCAAGCTGGTGTCTCCCCCACACTACGTCCTCACCAGTCAGTGTTTGGACAAGGGTATGGGTATTCAGTTGCTCGAGCAGGCAATCAAGGACATTGACGACAATATCAAAGAAGCGGGGGGTGCGTGTGTGATCAAGATGGCCCCCAAGGCCGTGACGGAACATGACGATGCGGAATTGCAAGCGCTGATGGACAAGAGGGCACGGGAGAATGAGGAGGTCAGCGGTGATGAGGACGTGAGTGAGAGTGACGAAGGACCGGAGGTTGCATAAAGCGCCACAGGCTGCCTGCGGAGTCAAAAGACTGGTATGGGTTCCCATTTGGAGACAAATCATATCCCAAAGGACTCCCGCAGGTCGCTGTTGAGCAGATGAATGCCAGGGTTGAAGCAGAGGCGTCACATCAACCCACCTTTTGCTGCGGCAACTCATCGCTTCCCTATCAACGCTATGATTGGCGGTGAACTGTCTTCGGGGGTTCGCGAGTTCGTCGACATATTGTTCTTGGGTGACATTCTGTCATTTTCCCAAACAGCACTCTCGAATCACGAGTGCCTCCCTGTCTGCGCGGTCGACCGTCGCTTCCCACGAGGCTGATGTTGTAGCCCACGACAGCACCGACTCAGTTTAATGACCCAAAAATTCGCATTTTGCAGAACTGGTTGAGGGAGTTTCCAGTCCGATTTTTCCATGTTTTGTGTTTTGCTTTCAAATAAACGGCCTTGACAAAAAGATTTTGTTATCTTGCACGTAGCCACCGAAGGTTATCTGCAAAGAATACTAGAAGTGATGATATTTCGATCAGAAAACACCCCTTCATCCTTGAAGAAGTTAAAGATTCACCGAGCAAAAAAGAAAATGAACCCGGCCGGATTTGAACCGACAACCTTTCGATCTGGAGTCGAACGCGCTACCGTTGCTGAATGAAAATTAGCTTACATGTCATTTTCGGAGAAGTAGAAGAGTAAAACTCACCGCCACAGGTCCAGGGGTTTAAGACACGTATTCAGAGGCAAATTTGAGCATTGAGAATTATCAATCCAAAATTAACATGAGCGGTGGGCTCACAAACCCTAACCGATATAGGTTTAGTGCGGTCACATGCTGATGACGTACGCTTGCTCCAGCGCCTCGGCCTCGGCCACAGTAGTCCTCCTCCCGCGGAACACGTAGATAGATTTCCTTGATCGTACACTTCAGTCAATTACTCTCGAGTCCTACATGTAGGTTATGACTTGCTTTTGCCCTACCGGTGGGACCGACTCAACCATGAACGAGGACCGCGTGAGAAAGACAAGAAGTCACAAGAAGCCACTCCTCGCCCGGAACGGGTGAGAGAGAGTTTTCCCTTTGTCCACTAAGCGTTGAGTCTTAGTTAGGATGGACTTCAAATAGAATAATCGCTTTGCATTCATTCGCCAATAATCAGTGCCCTAGGACTTCTCAGGTTTTCCCACCAGCTCAACCTGTCCTCCGAGAACTGGGGCAGAACACCCGACCACGTCTGACGAAGATTCCCGCTCGTCGTCCAGCCAAGGATACTCATGGACCAGCTTCCTCGAGCCGTCGGCTGCATACTCAAACCTGCTGAGCTCGAGAGCCGGCCGCTGCTTTCCGGTGCTTGTTTCACGGCCCACGACGCTGACGAACGCGAAGCGACGTTCTTCGGGTGGGAGCACGGAAGCCGGCTGCGGTTGCGGCGAATCCTCTGTGCAGGAGACCAGGTGTTCACCCTCCTCTATCGAAATCACTCTGGCGACCACACGGTCAGGTGCGACGAATGCCCATGAGTCTTCTTGCTTTGGGGCCTGGCGTATCAGCCGTAGCGCCGCTCGTCTCAGTGACGGATCTCGGCACTTGGTCGCACAGAAGTACAACGGTGGAATGAGTCCAGGCTCCAAGCTCAACAACAGCGAGTGAACCTTCGCGGAATCTGCGGCCTGTCGGAGGCAAAACATGGCGTGCTCGACGATTTCGGCAAAGTGGTCCATGTATTCGTCAAAGGCCATCTGATGAGGGCTGAGGCATGCTCCCACAGATATGTAGCAGACCGCCCAATACGTCAGCAGATACGAGTGTATCAGGTCGCTCTCCAATTCCAGTATTGTCTGACTCCTTTGAGCAGTAAAAGAGGACTTCCACTGCTGCAGGTCATCTAACAATGACAGTCGCTGGGACAGGAAAAACACCTTCTGCGGCTCACTCTCTTCAACATGAGGCAAAAAATCCGCATGTCTGATGACTTCGTAAGACTGGTTCATCAGGCGATCAAATTGGACTCTTGCCTCGAGCAAAGAAGACGTAGATGACGTTGTCTTGAAGATCTCGCCAGCGCTGTTACTGGCACCCTGGTGACGGGATAGATCGCTACCCAAAGTAGCAATCACAACGGCCTTTTTCAAAACGTACGATGCGACCAGTTGGTGAACAGTTTGACTTGCGGGCGAGCTGGGTCGGGTATCGAGTAGCCTGAGATTGTCGGTAAGGATTCTAGAGCATCGTTTCATCAAGTCGTTTGCAATCTCGACGTTTCGATGATGATATTCCACGGATGCGAATAGGATGTAGCTCAACGCGACAACAGAGTTATCGAGATGCCCACGCTCGGCCAGTCGTCGAACGCTCACAATCGCTTTGTGATAGTATCTCAATGCTTGCAAATGCTTTCGATTGGTGATGCTGGTCAAAGCCGCGGGGTCGGATGCGGAAATAGGCGACACGTATGGAACGTGCTCAGCCAAGGAGCTGAGGCACACAACAGTGTCCCAGACAAAGCCATATGTCTGGGCAAGTTGGGGGATATGCTGTTGCCAAAAGGTAGCCTCAACGGTTCCCGCAAATGCAGGAGCTGCGCCATACATGAAGTAGTGCCACGCACGACGTTCGTCCTCCGCGTGGTGAGGAGCGAGAAGAGAAACCATCTGCTGTGGACTGGGACTGCTCGACTGGCTGACCGGCCTATTCTGAACGAACCGAATCTCTCGAACAACGGGGCCTTCGCATTTGCGGCCTGTTTGGGTGCACCTCCGACAAAATGGAGTCGTTTCGTCACATTTTACCCTCCGTACCTTGCAGGTCAAGCAGCCGTTTTTGGACTTCTCGTGGCCAGCGCGTCGTCGGTGCATGTCGCTGCTAGTGTCGAGTTTTCATTGGCTGAGGAAGTAGTCCTGCATGAGCCCGACTGATCGATCAGGGAAACACGGCCAACGTAGTGCTGTTGCCAGACCGATTAAACGGCGGATGGAAGCAGGGGCGTCTGAACATACCAACCCATTCCCGGTTTCAGGCCTCAGTGGCTTCTCTCAGACAGGACGTCCCAGGTAGTCCGAGAGTCATTCATTCCAATGTCCAAAAGTCCCGTACATGACTTGATCTCAGCAGAAAGAATGAGATGAGAAACGTGGTAGAACCAGGAATTATCACTTGTATCCACAGCCTTATCGAATCCCCATCCATCATTGGTCAGCTCGGTTACTCGAGCGTTTTTGGATTAGTCTCTTGGCAAGTCGGACAAGTTGCCTATCTCAACCCCACAGGGCAAGTAAGCCGACCTGGACACGCTGCAAGCTGGGTGCGCCACTCCAGACTGAGTGACGAGGTGTTTAAGCACGCACGAATGAAGGCGATGTCTATCAGTTTTCCCTGTCCGATGCTCTCAGATACCCTCTCTGCTGGCTGGCCAACACATGTGGCGGGTATTGAGAGCCGGGAGACCTCGCCGCCTTTCAGCTGTGCCAGGGTTGCAAACCGGTTTTCCTCGTCTGCGGGTGCGGGGGAGCTTCGGACAAAATGTGTCAATGAGAGGCTGGCAAAACCCAAAGTTTGACCTTCAACGACCACAACCCAGCTGAGGTCGCTCCTCGCCGTAGCGCACCGTCGATTGCCTACTTTCTTCTTCTTCCCTTCTACCTTTTCTCTTGTGTTCCAGAGGACGGGAGCTCGACAGTTACAGATTGATCAACAAGTAACGCCAAGGAATCCCCTCGAACGCGCCATAGGATCCCAACGCATCATGGTCAAATGGGGGACGCTTCTCTTCGGAGCTCGCGAAAGGGAATCGCCATATCACCACAGTGAAACGAGGAGATGTAAGTTGGGCCCCAACCCTGTGTCACGACCGGAAACTTATCTGGCGCAGTGCTTCCCGCCAACAGCTCCGACCTGCCTCCCTCAGGCTTGCCGGCCAAAGAAGTCACCAAAGTCGCCCTCCGATTGAAGTACCAGATCGAGGCAGTCATTCCTATCGAGCTTCCCGAAGAGAAGATTGTCGCTGCCAACAGCCCCGTTATAACTCCGAAGGTGGTGCAGACAGCCAAAGAAGCGGGCGGGACTGAGTACGCTGGATGCGTGGTGTACTGCCTGCTTGTGTGCAAGAGATGGTTCACTAGACAAGCCAATCTGGAGCTCTGGGATGCAGACCTGCACCATGTCCGTGCTGTGGCTTGTGAGATGATCGCCAAACGCATCATCGAGAACGAGGAGGACCAGGAATACCTGATGCAGGAGATTCTCCTCAAGCGCTACTCGGTCATCCGCAAAGACGAGGAGACACCCCCGGCAAATGTCATCGAGAGGGCAGTCGACCTGCACTGCCTGATCGTCATTGGTTCTTCTGGCTACCAAAAGTGCATCAAGTACCTCTGGAGGGGTTGGATTCATCAAGACGACAAAGACCCGGGCAGATTTGTTTTCTACAATGACCGCGACAATACAAATTATTGGGTCCATCTGAACCCCGACCGCATGCGCACGCCCTTGTATCAGAACGCCCTGCAGATCACCATCTCGGTCCTCTATCTTGCCTTGTACACTGGGGCGGTCAATACCGTGAATGAAGATGGCGACCTTGACGTCGTCGAGGGTATTCTCTACATGATGACATTGGGCTTCATCTGCGACGAAATCGGCAAATTTTGGAAGGTTGGCATTTGGTATTTCGGTTTTTGGAACGCCTTCAACAACTGCCTCTACGCCCTGCTCACAGCCTCGTTCATTATCCGCATGACCGCTCTCGGCCACTCCCCCGACGAGCATGACGACAAGCGGCGCGAACTCAACAGATTGGGTTACCACATATTCTGTGTTGCTGCACCCATGTTCTGGGCCCGTCTCCTCCTGTATCTGGACACGTTCCGCTTCTTCGGCGCAATGCTGGTCGTTTTGAAAGTCATGATGCGTGAATCCCTCATCTTCTTTGCCCTTCTCCTGGTCGTTTGCGTGGGTTTTCTCCAGGCCTTTATTGGTCTGAACCAAGTCGAGGGAAATAGCAGTATCACCAGCTTCGTCATCACCGCCATGGCCAATTCGGTCATGCAGTCGCCTGATTTCGAAGGCTTTGACAACTATGCCCATCCCTTCGGCCTCATTCTATATTACATCTTCACATTCGTCGTCATGGTTATCCTGCTCAATATCCTCATCGCATTATACAACAGTGCGTACGAAGACATCACCGAAAATGCGATCGATGAGTACATGGCCATGTTTGCACAAAAGACACTGCAATTCGTACGTGCGCCCGACGAGAATGTCTTCATCGCGCCGTTCAACTTGATCGAGTTGCTCTTCTTGATCATCCCGTTTGAATGGTGGATGGATCCGCATCGCTATGAGCGATTGAACAACTATGTCATGGGCGTCATCTATTCGCCTCTGTTACTCATCACCGCTGGTCTGGAGTCTCTGGATGCCCGCACAGTGCAAAGCAACAGAAGTCGAGGAGAAGAAGATGATGACACGGTGGAAGAGTGGGAGGAAATGCCGCACGACCTGAACTTTGGAATGGAGGGGTGGGACACAAAGGTTCAGTCCACAAGACCGGTGGTCGAGGTTGACGCCGACGTCGTCGAGATAAGACAGCTGAAGGAGCAGGTTGATGAACTGCAGCGGATGGTGAGGGCGTTGAGTGTCGCAAAGGACGAACGCTGAACGCTGAACCCCGGTGTGTGCACCATGCTGAGGGCCTGACGGAGCTTGGAATTTGATCCGTGGTGCACTTTGTTACCAGATGTTTAACCCAGCTATTCATGAAGTTTTTAATGTCTATTCGTGTCGAACCTACTAGTTACCGAGCATAATTCTCCTTGTGACAGCCCAGATATCAAAGAGAACGCGATGTTGTGCCGGGATGATAGCCAAGATGGCAAATTGGCCCAGACTGAAGGCCATCCATCTGCGGACTTTTGATGGCGGAGTGTCCGCCAGCCACCGCCTACCGCTCGCCTCCTTGAGGGAAACGGTTCACGTGCAGGCAGGATATCATCACAGATTTTTATCCAAAAAAAAAAAAAATTTATCGAGATCCGCAATACATCCGTCAAATATATGTGTATGGTGGTGGGTGTCTCCTTTGTTTTTGACGTATCGTCTTTCTTAGTAGTGGGAAGGGGGGGGGGGGGGGGTTCTGTCTGTTTGTAGTTACGAGGCTGCGAGGCCGAACGGGTGACCCCCGCACCCGCAAAGTTCACGCAGACAGATGAACAACCCAGCCTGCCAGCCCAACCCAAGCCAGGCGGCCCCTACTCTACTGACTGACTGGTAGCGGCCTGTCGCCCTGCTCGTGACCGCCGACAAGACCAGACGGAACCTGTATCTTTGCTTACTGTCTACGCGAGTGTCCTATGCACCAAATCTCTTCCAATCTCACACTTGTTCCGCCTCGCCCTCCTCCCCTCCTCCCCTACCAAATACCGCACCCTGTTACCCTGGCGTCACATCTCCTTCGACGTGGTCTGGGGGAAGGACCCTCCAATTGCTCGCGAGACCTTGCGCCAGTCGCTCTGCAAATGCTGCGTGCGTACCAACCAAGACACACAATGCCGTACCGTGTCCTTTGCTTTGCACGGTTGCAACATCTCTAGCCTTTTCACCGAGCAAAGACCAAGCAAGCTGGGCCTGCTGGCACACACATAACTTGAATGTACACCACTACGATACTCGATGTGGAAAAGAAGAGTGACACTGTCGGGGATACTGGGATGATTTGTCCCACTGCTAGCCACCAGGAAAGTTCTTGTATGTCTGCATGACGGTGCTCACGCACGCTATAGGATCGTCGTATTAGTCTCACCCAAAACACCTCCTCTCCAAAAGTAATGCATCGCCAAGTCCTTCGTGAGGCCTCCATGCCTTTTGGAGAGGCTTCAGATTGGTCCATCTGATCCCTTCCACTAAGAGGTGAACTGCCAAAAGACCCGGGTATTCCCCAAAAAACTCCTCGCTCGATATACTGATGCCAGGGTGCCAAACGTCCGACGACAACCACGTTTCGTTGCATCCTGGAGTTCCTTCTTCACTTCCTCTTCATCGACGGTGTCTTTGTTGCCTTTGAATCCCTTGATCGGAGCTTTCTCAAGGAAGCTGGCAAGGACACAAGAATCGTTCCATCCTCGTAACGGGCTACAACGTGGACATGTTGTGCATACGGCAACAGTTCCGGACAACGTACTCATAACCCTCTCATTGTCTCCGACCCTGAAAAATGTTATCCCGCACCTTCTGTGTAGGCTTAAGGCGTCTCCTCGTGTGGCCATCTTCGAGTGAGTGGCGCGAATGCGCGTCAGCATGCACATTGGTGGGAAGATCAACACGATCTTGCGGTGCCTTGCTCGTTGCTGTTGATGCGTGTCGTGCTCCCCGGCCTCGGCTATCAGGTGGCAACATCCTCCCCAATGTCGGCGTTCCAGATTGAGTTGGAGGTAGAACTTCCGATTCCTGCGCCCTCTGTGGATTTGTGACTGCCAGGCTATGGACCACCAACTCCCGGTACGCATCCAGTGCGGTGCAAAGTCCTTCCAGCCGTGTACCTGTACCCCAGTCAAGAATATTCTGGATGGCTCGAGAAACTGCTCGTATGGCATTCGCGTCGTTGAGGAGATAGTTTGAAAATGTTTCAACATGAAAGCTATGCCGCCCTCCTTCATCGGCTCTCAGCCAATGTACATTGATCCGAGCTAGCTCATGGTCCATCGTGACGGAGAAATACTGGGGGTCATGGTAATCAAATTCTTTCATTCCGAAACTGCGCTGTACTAAGTCGATTTTGCCAATTGTCGCAATAGCTCCAGCACCGGCGGCCTGGTTGGCTGCGATGTAGTGGGTTCCGCCTTTTGCCTGCGATTTAAACTCGAACTGAAGGAATGGAAATCGAACCTTCCAGTCCGGGACGGCGTAGCTTCGGCCGAACTGGTCGTCGATGAGAAATGGAATTGTCTCGAGTTGGTCACGAGTGAAGGCTGCATTGGAATATCCAAATACTAGATCAGGCTTTGGTCTAGGTAAGGGTAGCGGGACCGTTAGGACAGTCGGATCGAGCGGGACAGAGACGCAATTAGACCACAACTGGTTAGCATTCGATGTCAATCTTTTGTCAGGGAGCACATTCGCGGCAGGAATGATACCTGACTCGAAGGTCCGCATGATATCAGCTTCAGGCTCGTTCTCAACCTCACGCAATGTCGCTACCAACATTTGAGCTGTTTTATCGTTGATTCCCGGAGATTTTCGTTCTTTGGATATGATCGTTCTAGCTCGCTTCATTAGCTCCGCCGGAGGATGGTCATGATTGATATAGATATTTCGGCGACCCAGGGATTCCCGGTAATGTGAATCATGAACGCTTGCAGAGGGTTCCCCGGACTTTCTGGAGGGGGTAGTCATGCGTTCAAGGGTATTGTTTGAGAAAGAAAAGACGGTCGTAGGTGGGGGGGCCATATTGTCCAATGCGGCAAGCTGGGGTTCGTCTTCTGTCGGCTCTCTGTGAAACCAGCTGGATCCATTCAACCAAGTCTCAATGAAGCTCTCTTTATCATGCCCAGTCCTTGGGGCAGCGTGTTGCTCGAGCGCACGTGTAGGACGCTTCACGTTGCCGAGTTGTTCGTCTCCAGTAACCACATAAGGCTGTCGTTTAGCTATTTGGGTCAGTAACTTGATCCAACAAAGTGATGACGGCGACTGACTGCTCTTAGGTACTCCTGGTGCCGCTGGCGAAGCCGTAGGTTGGCCTCTGATCTTCTCTTTGGAACGATTGTCTTGCTTCGCTGCTGCTTTCTGCAAGTACCTCGTCTGCCCTCCTCTTGCGGCCCGTTTCTGGGTTGCAGATTGTTTCTCCTTTGGCCGCGGGCTCTTTAGGGAGGCCTTGGGGCTTGCACTCAGGGCTTGCTGGCAGTTCTGCTTGGCTGTAATGCAGTCAGTGACACAGTAACGACACAATGAAGTGGATTGATGGGCATGGAACCGACGCTTCTCCTGTATTCTCTGGCTCTTCCGCTGGGGCTCGATCACGTCTTCGCCCTCGTCTTTGTCTTGGGCAGGAGGCTGCTTTCTTCCTATGATCAGTCAGTCGGGTTGAATCGCAGACGATGAAGGGTGGTCCCTACGGCTTGAACGACCAGGCTTGACCTGCTGGAGGCCAGGTTTGTCGTGGCCCTTTCGAGCTCCGTCTGTGTATCGCTTTGCAACACCTGCTGCCATACCGACCGGTGATGAATGATCCGTAGGACGTGCCTGGTATCTATAACCCACACCGGAACTTGGAAAAGCTGTAAACTGAACCAGTGGAGTCGCAGAGGGCCAGATCTCTGAAGTCGAGGAGAGACATTGATCGGTTCAGTCGCAGTCAATGGAGGGCACGAACGGCTTGGCGGGCTCAAAACAGCCAAAAAATTACCAACACAACTGCACTTGATTTCCTCGACAACGACGATTCCTCGACCGCTGGGAAAGCTGGAATGTTGGGCCCAAGCGTCCTCCTGGAGACACTCGTTGCCGAGCCACCCTACCCGGCCAGGCATGCCGTTACTCGTTCAGTAGCTTAGCAATACCACCAGTAGTAGCCTTAGTCTATCTTCCGCTTCTCCCTCTCGCGTCACCGAAAGGACGTCGTTAGCAGTCTCTGTCACGATAATCCAGACGGAGAATCCTGGTTCCGTCTTTGTATGACTGCATCAAGGGTTGGAGGAAATCGAAGTAGCCTTTGAAACTTTGTCCCGGGTAATTATTGATCGCTCAAATTGCGCCTTGAATCTCCTACCCTCTTCTTCATTACGACATCTTAACGCCCTGGCTCTTTTCAGCTGCCCTCTTCCGTGCCTGTGAGTCTTGTGCAACAGCGTACATGGTCTCTTCACGACTGAAGCTGCCATGATCGCCTCTGAATCTGCGTACCCTTCGATGGCGACCAGTGACATAACATCGTCATCATCTCAATCCAATGTTCCTCGTAATTTTGGTGGCATAGGTCTTGCTTGGGTCGTCTCGTTCGAGTCTTCGGCGAGGTCGTTCGCATGGTTGTTCGCAGAGCGGTGGGACCGGATGTGGCAGTGAAGTTGTCATCTTGATCCTCACTGCTGTCGGACGTTTCGGCGAAGTAGTTCTCCGGTTCACTTTCAGGTGGTAGGCTAATGGTGATGTGTTCCTATACGACATGGCCTCGGTCTCGAACTGGATTCTCGAACGGAGAGCCAAGTCATTCTATAAGTGACCGCAGTGGAGAGGGTGTCGGCGTTTCGCCAAAGCGTCTCAAGAGGGAATTGTGCTCAAGGTCAAGGCTCCCAGGACTAAGTGACCACAGATAGCGTGCGCTTGTGTCATCTAAACGTCGAAGTAATATAAAGGTGAACAAACCCCGCGTCGCGTCGCGAAACCTTCCCCGTCCATAGCCTCGGCACCTTCGAATCTACGAATCTACCTGCGCAGCTCTACATGGGACTGAAGAACCCTCCCCTCCCTCCTGGAAGGCGGCGGGTTATAGCGTTCGAACGGCGTGTGGAGTTGGTCATGAGTGCTTCAATCTCAAGCCCTGCACGGCCGGGGATTTCCTTGGAACCCCAGGAATCCCCATTGGAGTGAGATCTACGATAGCGGCAGTCGCCCCTTGATCCTCCAACAACCCTCGCTCTGTGTTGTACCATACATGAGTTGATCAACCCCTCGCCTGGAGCATTCGCTCACTGTGTTGCAATCAAGTCTCTATACTAAATGGCATAGCTATGAACTCACCTCCGAATACCGCAGATGATATTGGGCAGGGAACAATCGTACATGTCCAGTCCGTCTATCACGTGATGTAATGACAACTGTGACTGGCAGGGATGCCAAGGACGTGTAATGACCGTCACGCTAGTCCTCGGCCGAAGGCCTTCAGACTAGCGCCGGTAGGGCCCTATAAAATTACTCGGAAGGTATATAGTTAGACGGTTCCCAGGACCTAGTAGAATTCACCATGTTCCTCCATTGAGTCACACAACAGACGCCGTTATTTCACGTGACTGATTTCGACCCTCAACGCAGCTTTGCCACCTTTTTTTCTCGGCCAAATCAATCGTGTCGGGCAGTCTCGCTATTGCTGGCACTAACTCTAGGGAGGCTACGCGTCAGGTTTGGCGACTAGGATGTAGGTTTTGCTACCGACGTGGTTACATGGCAGAAGCAACCAGGAGGAAATGTGGCGACAAGGCCAGGATGTAACATGATCATGCATTTCATTACATGGAAAATCATCAAAAGATTCGCTTTTATGGAGCTGACCATTACATTGTCTGATTTATCCTCAGGTATACCTAAATCCCATCGCTAGGACCTTTCCCCCTCGCTCTGCTGGTGCGTATCCAAGCAGTTAATCCAGCAGAGGGTCCCAACACCCCACGTACCCGAGTCATCGTACCGTTGCTAGCTTCCGCCAGGCGACACTGAGGGTGTGGGTAGCCCCTGCTCCTGGCGTTCTTCGTAGCGAGTCATCCAGTTCGGTGGCATTGCCACCACGGGAGTTGACGTGATGAACACAGTGTCAGTCTCCGGGTGGCACGATACCGGTTCGCCGCCCGAGCCGCGGTGTTCTGGCTCGGCGTCTTCTGCCACAACGTCCTTCAGTTCCGTCGCGCCGGCATCTTTCACTCGCTCGGGAAGCCATTTGACTTCGGAAGAGTTCACCCGCGTCATTGTGTGGATTATCAATACTGAGTGGATGGGAATCCGTTCCTTCACATTCACAACCGCTTCGACGGACTCGATGGAGACCACGTCGAGATGAGACGAGAGAACCAGGTTCGCTGCATCCGAGGTACAACTGGAGGAAGAAGCTCCCTCGTAGAACCATGCCACCAGCAAGAATATCGTATCTTTGTTGGGACCTCCTCTTGATCTTATCGGTGGCAGCACTCTGATCTCAAGGACTAGAGCGTTCGCCTGCTGCAGCTCTTCATGCTCATCGAGATAATAGACCACAACTTGGTCATCCACACAGATCCCCGTTGTCGATTGGCTTAGCGTATTCAAGTTTTTCCAAGCGGGGAGGCCGCGCCTTGCACCCACTACCCGGAACGTTTCGGAGTCCTTCCGAGGATGGGTCTTGATCTTGTAGGAAGGGATTTCCGGCTCCAGGAGCCGTCGGCGGGTGGGGATGGATCTTGGAGAGGGCATAATTGGAACACGCTAGGTTCACTAAAGTGCTTATCAGTATACATCGTCTCCACATGAAAGTGTCGGGGCAGGCTACCGTCGAACGAAACAGAGGGTGTCTAAGCCAACTACGGCCTAGAAAAGAAGGAGATCTGGAGATGCGTTGTGAATTGATGAATGGGTCTCCTGAAGCGACGGGGCAGCATCGACACAACCGCAAAACCGGTTTTCTGATTGGGCCAGTAACAGGGTTAGTGAGAAGCCGTTTCGAGGAAAGCCCACGCAGACCTACCGGCGGACAAGCTAAACTGAAGCTTTCACCAAGCGTTGTCCACGAGTTGGGACTGAAGTATGCTAGATTGTGGCACAAGAGGACCGGAAACCATTGGGACGACAGGAAGTTAGAGAATTGCACAAGAGAGCTTGAAAGGAGAGGAAGAACACAGAGAGACGAGAGATGGCCGGTGACAGGAAGACGACCTGCGCAGGCTTCCCCGCAGATTTCGAGACTGAGTGTACAACTCGTCCTGAAGGGTGAAAGCGGTAACAAACACTGATAGCGAGAAAATTTAATCGGAAAATGTGCTTGGTAATTTGGCTAGTCCACTTTAGTCTCTAGCTTCGTGATGGACGACCAAGACATAAAATTGATTCGTCCCTGAAGCGCTACTAAAAGTACGCGCTACGCCTTTTCAGGAATATCCGTGTCTTCCCCTCGCGTCAAATGGCCTTAATTTTCCAAGGCGACCAACCCCTCCCTCCATCAACCTCCAGATATCATACTTTTGAATGCCCGAGGCACGATTACTATCTGCGCGAGCAAGCGCCGGCTGCTTCTGAGCATTCCCTCTTGAATCCCTTGAGTTGGCCGTCGCACAGTCACCCAGAACACCATCATTCTCAATTGATGGATTACAATGTCCGTCACACTCCCCAAGACCACCCCACAGATCCTGCCCCGTCTACTAGGACAGCAAAGAAGCCACAAAGACGCAGAGTACGATTCACTTCCGGACCTCAGGCCGGAATTACCACCCAACGCAATGGGCAAACCCAATCGCCCGTGCGCGTGGAACCGGAAGTGTCTCATGTACAGCCTTTACAGCCACCAAACACACACACTGCGGACTTCTCGGCCCAGCCTTCAGAAGCCTTGAATGTCTTTACACAAAATATGTCACCATGCCAGGCTGAAAACTGCTGTATCCACTGTGCTCCTGAGGCGGTTGTTGTGTCGCCTAGAAACCCTGGCAACGCTCGAAGGCTGTATACCATTGTGCGCAACCATGCTGATCACACACAGCAGCCATATAGCAGTCCATTCGGATGTACCGCCCAGCCACAACAGCCATATATAACAGCAGCCGTGCATGCGATTCATGCATCGGTTCCCTTGGGTTTCGAACCTCCTGGTCAGACGCAACAAGCCGATTCTGGGGCACATGGGTATGCTGCTCGGAGCAGCGTGTCGTCCGCGATGATACCACAACACACCCCTTGGGCTCAGCAGCCATGTGGCATGTCACCTGAATACGCAGTCCAGGCTCTGCAGGGTCAGTCACAAACAATGACACCCAGGTACACTGACCAATATCAGCACTTGTACACTTCACCACCCGGACCGCCAAATAGCAATCATGTACAGCAGCCACATGTCGTGCCACAGGGCAATCTCGATCATTCTCAGCAGTCGTATGATATGTCCACAGAAACCCGCGGTCGGCCGCAATATCACACCAGCGCTCAAGGAAGGTTCGTGGAAACCCGGCAGGCCGTCCCATCGACACCTACTCTCGGCACGCAATGGACCACCGTGCCAATTAGCCAGCCTCAACAGACTTTTACGTCGGTGTCAGGCGTCTCGGGGAGCCACGGGGTATCTCTGCCAAACGACCAGGTCCAATCTCCTGAAAGTCAAAGACCTCCAGACCTTCGGACTTGGCAAAGGAAACGCCCTGCCGAGGACCCCATCACCGCAGGAAGCGGAGGACCCCCTGCTGCAAAGAGGCAGCAGCAAGGGTACATACCGCCGGAAGGATCCCAGCAGGCTCCTCGCACTGATCAGCGTCTGGCGATGTCATGCATGCGGGCCTTTCGGTCCCTGGACACAAAATTCCAAGACTTGCACCAAGCCTACTGCGACAAACGAGATCGAGACAAATGGGAACTATCCAAACGTGAACAAGAATTCAAAAGACGTCAGCCATCTATGAGAGGCGAGTATCAGCATGCCTTAGAGTCTGTCAGACAAGATCACGAAAAACAACGCAGGTATTGGAAGGGTGAGTTGCGCACAAATGAACAACGATGGAAAGGAATAGTCCAACAGGAGGACAAGATATGGAGATCCTCCTACGCGGAGCTGGACAAGATCTGGGATACCTGGGTGCAAGGCGATTTTCAAGACCTCGTCCGTCCTCAATTTGTGCAGTATATCCGTCATCTAGAATCCGCAGTCTCCCGCTTGGGCTCAAAACCTTCAGGTCACGTGCCATTACAGCGAGAGGCGCCCAGCGAACGACAACCCGCAGCTAGAACAACCACGACAGCATCACGGTCGCCACGGCCCCCTGATGCGGCACCGGTAATGCCCCTGCCAACGCGTTCCCCCAGCGCAGAATTTACAGTACCGCCCCCCGCACAACCCTCTAGTGCAGAGATGGCCATGCCGTCACCATCTAGCCCCTCCAGTATAGCATCGACAGTATCATCATCACCAACGTACTCTTCTACCCCGGCATCGACACCGCCTTCATCGCATATCCCTAGCATAGGACCGATAGGGCCGTCACCAGTATACGTTTCGAACAACGTAGCACGGGCAATGCTTCCACCACCCCACCGCGATGTTGCATCCACAAGACCTGCATCAATGTATTCACCTGAGACAGCAATAGCAATGCCGCCACGATTATATCCTCCTAACACAACGTCTTCTGTACCACCTCTGGCACATCCTCCTATTTCTGCAGCAGCCATGCCACCACCAGCACCATACCCTGCTACGCAATCGACAATACCGCCCCTACCATATCATCCAAGCCCAGCAATGTCTCCTCCAATGCGACCTTCTGCCACAACAACCACGATGCCACCGCCGCCGCTCCCCACAAGACCAGCGATAGTGTCACCGCCACCACTTCCTAACATTGTATTGCCGCCGACACCACCTCCCGACCCTACAACTACATTGCTTGCCCCGCTGTGCCCAGACATAGTCACGGCAATGCCACCATCTCCACCGCCCAACAGAACAGCCACGACACCGCCACCACTGCTCCCTGATATAGGACTTGCGAGGCCTTCATTGCCACATCCTAACAGAACAAGACCTCTGCCGTTACCACGCCATCCCAGCATTGTGACAGTAAAACCGCCTTCGCGATTCCCTCACCGCCCCGCCACGATCCCATCAGGTGCAGAATTTCGACATGCAGAAGTCTGGGGCGCAAAGACGATGCCAGCGCAGCCACATCTCCACGAAGCAACTATAATCCCGCCAGGGCTATATTCTGACAGTGTACGAGCGTGTCAGGAGCCAGATTATTACAGACCATTGACGATCCCTCCACAGCAGCACCCATACACGGCAATGACGATGTCATTAAAACCACAGCCCCTACGTACAATGGCGATGCCGCTACAGACACAATCTGGCCCTCCAAGTGTTATTCCGCACAAGAGCCAATTTCGCAGACTTCAGGAGTCGAAACCGCGTCCTCCAAGCGCCATGGCGATGCCACCGCAGACACAACCCCGTATACTCACGGTAGTTCCGCCAAAAGGCCAACTCCGCGGACTCCGGGGAGTGTCATCAGTCTCTCCGTCACCATCACCATCTCTCTCGCCGTCACTTTCTCCTCCGCCCAAACCACCACCACGACGCCTCACGCTTCCCGCTGAGATGGAGATGGACATGGGCGCTGGCAATGGACAAGTCGGAGGAAAGGGGAAGGGCAAAGCAAAAGATAAGGGTAAAGGAAAAGAAAGGGCAATGACACCGAGGGAGAATCTGGCGAGGGGGCCGAGGCGGCAGCTACCAGGCAACATGAATCTTGATGGTGATGACGATGACGACGACTCGTATCTCACGAGGATTACATGTGCTGGGTATTGATCATTCAGGGCCACCAGGGCGTCGTTGTGCTCTCTTTGGGCCGGGTGGGCTTCTCTGAGTTTATCCACTTCAAAAGACTTGTTTGTTCGATTGGTTGTATGGTTGATTGATATGCCTTGACGAATTTAATGACCGTGATGATTATGACGACTAGAGCGTGGACAATACAGAACTTACCTACCTACCTACCCCGATAGTCTTGCTGTAGTCTCGTATCTAACGCTCCAATGACGAAGTACCAGCAGTGTAGTCCCATCCGATAGATGCCTGCCAGCCAACCAGTTCACAAACACCTCCGCAGGATGACTAATCTGCCCCCGCCGACTAGCACGGGAAATGAAGTTGTCCGTCTATAACTTTCAATCCACCAACGCCTGAAGGTTCTAGCTAGTCCAAGTAGACTTGCCATGTCAAAGCCTATCGAACGGTGTTATTTTCACAAGATTATATCATGGATTGCGGGCGGTGCAGGCAATAGAAATTTCTGTGGGGGGGGGGTGGGTCTGGCCAATCAAAATCGGCACTGGGCTCAGGCTGTGCCTCGTCTTGGCAGCCAGACTTGGGCCTTGTGCTCGCCATCCATTTTGCTCGTGGTTGACGACGAGGATATACACTAAAGGCTCGACAATTTTGTACGACATTCTCGGAATTATCCGGCTGGCTGGGGATGCAATGCCGCATGCCATGTGCCATGTGCCATATACCCAGCATCAAAGACACGGACAACGTGTCTTCTGACCAACCTGTGCGGAAGCCGAGTCCAGATTTCGTATGATTCCGATTCCAACCTGTGTATCTCTCTTCCTTCTCTGCTGATCGTGGTCACGTCGTCGTTGATGGACTATTACTACTGACACCGTCGTGGTGAGTGATGTACTACTCAAGTAGAGTACAGTGCCTATGTCAAAAAGTCCGAGTTCCTTCCTTGGACAAAAATTACGTGTTTTAACCCCCCCCCTCCCCCCCGGGGTGGGGGTTGTCATTGTCTCGCGTGATGGTTATTGGTCGGTGTGAGGGACTCGGATAGTCGAGTACGATTGCTGCGACGGCGACGGCGACGGCGACTGTGACTACGAGTGAGATGACATCGAGTCAGACCTGACCACAACTACGAGGTAGTGTAGTGGTAGAACGCCCAACGACTCTGATGGCATCGAGTCAGACGTGGGCAGACGTGACCGCATCAGCGAGCCCAGCATGGTCCAGCCTCACGACTCTGCCCGCGTCGAGTCAGACGTGACATGACCACAACTAGCAGCGCGTGAGGCCCCGAGTCCAAAGGCATCGAGTCAGATATTGACTGTACCTTAGGGTGATGGTCATTTTTGTGTGTTGGTTAGTAGGCAGCCTCCGACAGCGCGGGCGGCGAGTCAGACGTCCCTCACCGCACCGCACCATGCCACACTACAATTACTCGTACAACCATGCCGTACTCATACGGTCGGCATCACGGAGATTCAGTGATCACCCCAGTGACGAGTTCAGTGGAAAGGGGAGAGCACCGAGCACTATAAGTCCGGCTTGACTTGACTCGGCCCGTAACCCGTATATAGCCCTTTGGTGGGCAATCCATCCCCTATTTTGCTGCTTGTTATCCGTTGCCCCCTTATCAAGCACTGCCAGTGTGGAGCGGAGGCCACAATTACTGTCGTGGTACATGGCACCTCGTAGTCACGGCCCACAAAACGTTCATTCATTCATGCAACTCTCGGCAGCCTCGCTTCTTCTGCGGACGAGGCTGGAGTGGCTGAGAGGTGAGGCTGAGGTTTACCCCGCACTTTGCGTGAGGGGTTTCAAACTGCGCATTCACCATGGGATACGGACAAACAGGAAGACCACCAGCGGTATTCTACCGTAGATAATGGTTCGTTGAGTATATAATTGATTAACTGAGTGATTGAACGATTCTCTGACCCGACCGACTGCCTGACTGACTGACTGTTTGACTGAGTGAATGACTGACTACCTGGCAGGCGACTGTATGCGGCGGCGAAATCCCAAACCCAACCGCAACCGCAGCCGCAGCCGCAACGACGCCAGGCTCAAAGGTCGTCCGTGAACGACATTGACAGTGTGTTATTGCAGCCCAGCACGGTCCTACCCTTCTCTTATGTCCTTGTTCCTACCAATTTCCATGGATTGAGCGAAGAGACGGTCCTCTGCAACTCCGACGCACCGACGTTACCGGTACGCCTGCATCCGGAACCTGTACCTTGTCCCGCCCGCTCCTCCCCTTCCCAATTTCAATACTTTTGTGTGTTTCTTGACTGTAGATCCCACGCTACATCGCTTGCCTCTCCAGAATCTTGGAGAGCTTCGGCTTGATCAGATGGAGTCCACGCAGGCGGTGGACAAGTCGTTTCTTCTCCGTCATCGCCATCGGCAGTCTGTCGGTCAAGACGGGACGTGTTAGCGCTCACTTCATGTGACACAAGGACACAGTGGTCGATACTCACTCTCTCTCGATCTCAAACTCCTCTTTGGGCCGGTGCTTGGGCGCCTCGTCCTCGCACCACATGTAATACTCGACGGCCTCGTCCCACTGCCGCTGGCTGTCCTCCAGAGGCTGATGGGACAGACGCAGCGAGAATCCCGAGAGAACGCCCAAGCCCTCGGGCACAAGCTGGTAGTGTCTCAGGTAGGCCCAGACGTACAGCCGGCGGAGCTGGTGCTCGTCGTCGTTGGGCGCCATGGCGTACCAGATCATGGCGTGGATCATGCCCAGGGCGGTGCCGACGGACCGCAACATCTCGCAATGCATAGCCTGCTCGATGCTCATGCCCTGGAACCGGGCCTGGATGCGGCGACGTGCACCAGTCAAGAGGAGGTCGAGTCTCTTGTTGTGAGCGGCCAAAAACCTGATGTACAGATCGTCGTCTTCGGTGCTTCCGTCGTAGAATTGGCGGATCCGCGTGATTTCCTCGTGGAGAGTCTCTCGCTCCTTGTCGATGTTGGAATCCATGTTGGTGCCGGTGGGCAATGACAACGGCGGGTATGTGATAAGGCTGATGACCACGACGGACGAGACAAGAACCACGCCACGCCAGTCGATGGTAGGGATGGAAAGGGGCCTGGAAGATGGGCTGGCAACGGGGAAGTGAAGGAGCGGCAGTTGACGGGGGCGATGAGTGATGGGTGCTCCGAATGAAGGGCAGGATCCTCAGATGCCCTTGGGCACATGGAATGCGTACTGAGATTGATGCTGAACCCTGACTTTCATCTTCCCCTCTCTCTCCCCGTCTCCGATGCCCTGTTCTGGGCTTTCAGGGCCCTTTTTTCCTGTCACCTCTCAATAGTCTCAAGCCCTCGCATCCCTTGCATCAAGCCACCATTCGCAAAATGCAGCTGGAGGCCATCGGTTCAAAAGCCATGGGATGGAAGGATTGACGTACTGTACGTACATGCTGCAGGACACGAATCCCCCGGATTGGCCGCCCGAGCCTTTTCAGTTGCATGACATGGCATGAGAAGAAGGAAGGGCGGGTGCGGACACCTTGGATTCCCAAGCACAGACCACCAAGAGGCCCCCATCCAAAGTCTGTACTGTGCTGGAATGCGGAGCCCCATGCAAGTCAACAGGGTCGATGATCCCCGGGCAACGCGAGCTCTGTCCATCAGGAAGCAAAGTGGTCGGCGATCAAATACGAGCTGGCTTGCTGGGTCTGTTTTTTTGTGGAGGCACACTTCCTGTTGAATCAAGGCTGTGTTCGGGCTTTCTGGCTGCTAGCAGCAAAAGCGAAAAAAAAAACAAGAGAGGTCGAGAAAAGAGGTCATAGCGTGAGTTAAGCGAGCAGAGCCCAGTCAATGCCTGTCTGTCTTCTGTCCGCCAGCCAGTAAATTTGGCCCCCCCCAGAGATCTGGCAGCCCCCTCCCATCAGATTGCCAGTGTTGGGCCAGCCGACCGAACGACCAACAGATCGTCCTCTCCATTTGGGAGAGACAAGCGAACTCGGGCATCCCAATCTGGCTCTCAGGTGACAAGGATTGTCTGTATTACCAGCGCTGTTAGTAGTATGGCGTCGAATAATAAGTCGGTGTCGAGCCTGAAGGGGGTGGGAGATCCACCTGCTGGGGGAAGCAGGAAGAGAAAGAGAGTTTTGGGGAAAAATCCCATTTCAAATGACAGAGAGTTCAAGAGTCATTTTATTGATTGTTGGTGCTTGGCGCTGGATCTCACGCATGCATGACATGGGTGCGAAGGGGGCGCCCGTGATTAAGGGTCCCTTGCAGCAACACTGGGGATTGGAAGCGAGTAATATTGCTTGGATCAACATCTGATTGACCTCAGGAGAGACCCGAGACACACACAGAAAGAGAGAGACAGAGAGAGAGGCGCACACACACACACATAGCAAAGGAGACATTCACACATGCACTCATGCATGCCTGCATGTCCCATCACCTCCACTCCTGCTCGCCGCACCATACGAATTCAATACCGATACTCGAATACCTGCGGCATCTGAACCACAGCGGTGTAGCGCCATTCCGATACAGTTGCAGGCCAGCCTCTTCCCTTTCCCCCTCCGCAGTTGAGTTGGGCCAGAAACCATATCGACGCCGCAATACTTTACAGAAGCAGCATACAGAAGGTTTCCCTACATAGAGGTATATAAAGAGGTCTACATTCCCTAGATATTTCCTGTCCATCTTCCATATCTTCATCCATTCTCACTCTTCAGCCTGATCACCACAGTAGTTGACAGGTCAGTCCCGACTCCAATCAATCGGACCCCCCCCCCCTCCCCCTCCCCCCCAAATTCCACCGTAGTGAGTACCTCTTGTGAGTCTGTGCCTGTTCCATCTCGCTTGGCCCCCTTGCCGTTGCTCTTGCACCGCTCTTATTGATCCTGGCGCTCAATCTGACACAATACCCAGACAGCCACATTGTGTCAAGCATGAGACTGCCACCTCCCGGAGTACCAAGGTCCTCTCGGCCACCTCCGCCTCCGCAGTCAACTCCGGCTGTAACGTACAGCATGCCTGCCATTCCAGCGCACCGCCTGTCCTCGGTCACGGCCCACAACATGTCCACCATCACGGTCCGTGAACCAGACCTCGAAGAACAAGTAAGAGAATTGAAGAGGCAGCTCGACCACATGAACGAGACCTTCGCACCACTGGTCCTCAGCACGCGCAACCTGCGAGACCGCATAATGGTCCAGGAGCAATTGGCCAACATGAACAGGTCGACCCTGATGGTCAGCCTTGCCATCTCTCGCAGAGCGGCCGCAACCGAGGAGCAGCTCCGACGGGAACAACAGCAGTTCCGGAATCAGCTTGGAGCCTTACCACCACCACACTCACCTATCCAGATTCGGGAACCACGGCTCGCGCATCAAGGCGGCCCCGCGCCTGATCTGCCTCCGCCGGCTGTCTGGCTACCCCCGGGTGCTCCGCCACGACTGTGCTACCCAGGCCGGGCTGTTGCCCAATCCGACCTGGTCATGGTCCACGTCTGGTATCTACGGCTCGGGCACGGTGCGGTCCTCGGCCGCTACAACGCCCAAGACTATCGACGTGACATGCTCGGCCGCAACCGTATCGAAATCCGTGACAGCATGCCCTTTGGCTTTCTCCAAGGTTGGGTGCTGTCCCATACGGATGAGGTCTTCGGCCACTTCATTCCCGAAGTCGCACAGCCCGGGTGGCCCTTGCAACTCAAAATCCACAACAATCCGGGCCAAGGAATCTTCATCGCCGCCGTTGTCCATGACAATCGTGGCCTGCGCCCATGTCATGACAGCGATATTCTGGAGCTCTTCCAAGTAAGTTCGGACCCCCTCAGTCCGGGCCGCTGCTAACACCCCAAACAGCCTATAGAGGTTGTGGACCTGCTTGACATGTTGTTGCTGTTCTGGGAGACGGCCGACATGGTTTACAAGTCACGCGACCTCGGCATTTCTGCCGACGAAATGATCGAGTACCGGGTGCGGCTGGACCAACTCTGGGAAGATGCCTCCGCGACCATCTCTCGGGCCCTCGATGCCTATCCATGGCGTCAGAAGGTGCTTGATGAGGTCCGCGTGCATCAGAGGGCAGTCTCCCAGACCGTGGTGGCCACCATTATTGCCGTGGATGCTGACCGGGCGTGGAAGCGGGTGCTCGGTCTCCTGATGCAGGCTCGGCCGACAATTGTAAAGGCCGAGTATGTGTTGCGAGGCATCATCAGCCACGAATCGTCGCGGGGAGAGTCTCTCAACACTGATCTGGTGGAGATGTTTCCCAATCCGTTTGTCGAGGAGCTGCTGGGCGACAACGGTGATGCCGTGATAGACAACTCTGAGCCACCAATGGAGATGGAGACGGAGGACGAGTACGAGTGAGGTTTGGGACCAAAGCAAGGCAGAGCAGAGCAATGCGGGGTGGGCGGATCCAAAGCCAATCCCCCCAACGCCCTTGTACGTGTAGGAGTTGGTAGGAGTTTGTAGGTCGATCATGCGTTGAATCTCATTACTGGGCAAAACCTTTCTTGTTCACCTATACTGGCCTCATCTCCCGACAAGGTTTGGGATCGTAACAGCCACAGCCACTTGTTGCTTCAGCTCCTTGACTGGTGACCCTGGGACACTGCGGGAGTAGTCGATCGCCTAGGGCAGTGCTGCGAGTGCTTACCTGCTAGCTTCGATCCCAATATGGGGTACACCACCCTCCCTCAACACTCTGGCATCTCCCTCTACCGAAAAGCACCAAATCCAGAGGGTAAGTCCCCGACGGAAAAGCAAACGCAGTATGTGTGACTCAATACCATTCCCATCCCTTGTAGTTTCGACTGGATTGGGGTAGGATTCGCAGGACTAGAGCAGTGTGCACCCCATGGATATCGGAGAGACCAGACCAGCTCGGATGTCGGATGGTTGGGCCATGGAAGATGCAAGGTGGAGGGTAAACTCTGATCAACGATCATCGCGAAAGCTAACCTTGCCCGCATTACCACCTGAAATTAATTCACTCATGTCTGGCAACTCTAGCTTTTCGGTGGCTGTCGACCCGGCATGAAGCATGAAGCTAGTGACTTGACCTGCTCGCATGATGCAGGATGCTCAGGGAGCAAAAAAAAAAGCAAGAAGCCAAAAAGGAAAGCAGTAGATGAATGGAGAGGGAAGGTGCGGACAAGGCGACAACGACAACGACCTGCCGGATCAGATCGCGTTTAGTGGATTCGAGCACATGCGGCTTCAATAGCACATCACAACTCTAATTCCCCCGATCCGGGCGACCTTGACATGATGAGCGTAAGAGTTCTGGGGATCGGAGCATTACTATTGGGCGCTGCGCGTCAGTACCTGGGGATGGTGCTGTTGATTTGTTCGCGGCGTTGCCCTAATCAGGCGATGCACTTGAGGGGGAATTCAGCTGGGACTCCACCGCTGCGCAAACTGATGCCTTGTGATTAGTCGCGGATCTTCCAGAGTTTCCCGGAACGCGCTTGGGTCTGGGCGAAATGCAAATGCCTCGACAAAACTTGTCCGTACTTGCACTGTAACTTGTGATCACCAATAATCGTGACCCGTTGGCGGAAAAAAAAAGAGGAGATCCGGGTTATAGGGGGGTTGCGGGATGGGAGGACGGTCAGAACTGGAACATGGCGCCTGTCAAAAGTCTGGGCGAAGTGAGGGGGTTGACGGGCAGAGCAACCTGACTGGGTAGATGGGCTCGGTACCAAACTCTGGCGTGTTTTACAATCTGAGCTGCGAGTTTGCTGAGTCTGTGATCAACACGGCTCTTTCTCTTTCTGATCGACCCAACTCAAGAGTGTGTAAAACCAAAGGGCAAGCCAGAGAAATTACCGCATGGAGCAATAAAAACGGGACCCACGTGTATCTGGAGAGGAGGGCAGGAACTTCTGTCTAGTGTGGAGAACCGCAGGAGTCTATTGGCCTGTGGCGCTGCTGTCAGGTGCCAGATGATCCAGCCAACAGCCTGACCAGCCTGAGGGAAATTTTGGTTTCCCCCCAGCTACAAGGAGTAACCAACAGAGAGATTTGTGCGAAATCCAGAGGAATTTCGTGGTACAATGCCATGGACAGTGCTATAGAGATCAGAAACAGCCCATTCCGGGCATAGGGTTGAAAACACTAGTGGTTGAACTCTTGTCACCAGTGTCTACCTCGAAGTCGGGGTTCTAGGGATGGCCACCTCCTCTCCCTTCCTCCCTCTCTCTCTCTCTCTCTCTTTCTGTGCCTCTACCTCTGCCTCTGCCCCCTCCGACTTGTCCCGGCCTCTGGAATTTGGCTCTGTCCCACCTCCTACCCCTTGCTCTCTGATCCTAGCTTCCTGGCCCTATCCCCCTCCCTTCGCCATCTCCCCTGCATCCATCAGGCTAGTACTCTAGCGCATCATCTTCATTCCAACCTGCAATGCCTTGAACATGCCACCAACATTGCTAGGTCCCCTGCCTGGGAGAGAAAACGACGTCGAAAATAACCCCGGGTAGATGCGGAGTGGTTGCGCATCAGTTCCTGTTCTCCTATGTGCCAAGGCTTGGCACATGCGTCTTTTCGCACTCTGTTCAAAAAAAGGCGGGGAAGACAATGTACTTTGCCCTGTATGACAGGCTAGTTGGTTACCATTAGCACTGCGCTATTGCGTTAGAGTCTTGGCATGTAGCACAGTCAGAAATGCCTTGGAACAACACACCCCTCCAGTCTACCACATCAACGCCCATCTCACCACCACAACTCGTATCTCACTGTCGGCCTAAGGCTCCTTACCTCCCTTGTCCGCTAATACTTGGGAAGGATTATGGACTCATGGGCACAGGACGCGAGCAGTACAAGTCTGCAGCCTCACAGCCTCCCCCATTCCGGCCTTGACATCTTAGATGCACTTCCATGCAAATGGCCACCCCCAAGGCTTGCTTTTGCCCATTCCGAAGCCTTTCCAAAAAAAAAAAGTGTAAGAAGAGTCTTTCCCTTCCCCCTCGAACTCCGCAAGCAACCTTAGCAGCCACGACGAAGGTCATCTAATACCCACCAGAACCTGTCAACACATGCCAAACAGTGCCGGAAATGGATACCCCCCTTCCCAAGGGCTCCCAGCGGCAGATCCTGACCCCCGTCACTGCCACTGGTCAACCATCCCAACCACCCGACACTGACACCGCCATTATCACCGCTGTCTGTGCCATGGTGGAACCGCAGGAGAAGCAGTCTTCACCTGTCACTTCTGGCAGGACCGACGATCAGCAGAACTCATTGCCATACGATACACTGAGCCAGAGGCCCGATCAGCAAGGGATTGACCATGACCACCCGCAGACACATCAGAGTTCCCCCAGACCCGCCGCTGCCGATGGTCGAAAAGACTTCTAGAGCGTAGTGGTGTTGCAGTTACCTAGTAGTCCAGGTAGCGAATTGCCAGATCTGTCCGAACCCCCTAGAGCCCAAAGTATCTCTGTGCTCTGTCCAATGGGTAGCCCCGAGAGTAGCCGGGTGAGAAGCCCCTTGCGCTACTATTCCCTGTGCCAGAGATGCCCTACCCTGCGAGCAGGGAAGACGGGGAAGACCAGACCAAGGCACAAGTCACCCAACCCCCACTTTACGCCGCCTCATCTCCTGTCCTTTCCAAAATCATACCTGGACATGGATACATGGCCCAACACGCTGTCAAAAAGAAGTCCGACCTGGCACCTGCCTGTAGCATGCACTGGAATCAATTCTCAGCCTCAAAAACAACCAAGACCAAGGCCGATAGGAATAAACCAGCACCAATGTGTGCCGGACTGCACGGTGCATTGCGCATGGGCGGGCCATGGGCCATGAAAACAAATCATATCGTTTCATGAAAGAGGCATATCCTGTGCTGGCCATTCGGGGATCGGTGACCACGTTGACATGCAAGGTTTGGGAGAGAGGGAGGGGAAGGGAGAACCCTAGAAGCCACTTGTGGACAAATGAAAGATGTTGATGTTCGACTCTGTCTGTGTGCTGGTCTTGGTCTTGAGGTCCGAGTGTTGGGATAGATGAAAAGGCCTCATTTTCCTGAAATAAGTCCATGGTCCGAGATCGTCCAAACCACCGCCCTCTGCTGTCTTTCTTCTGTCAGCTGCCCTTCTGTCCTTACGAACTACACCGCCGCACACGCCGCACACAACGGAACTCACTTGATCAAAAAGGCCGCCGTCATCCTTTTTTTAGACTTTCAACCCTCCCCATTCTCCCAAAAACAGTCAAAGCACAAGCTTCGAAACCTTGTATGCCAGAAACTCACCAATGCTAGCGTTCTGCCGCAGCATATACGCCCAGACCATTTCGGGGACTACGGCCGCCCCGAAGCATGGTCCAGCGCGTGACGGACGACTCCCACCGGCTGCTACGGATGCGAGACTGCCCGTACCGTGCATCATGCCTGTGCTCAAGGCCGCGGCAACGAGTGCCATGGAACCAAAAGTTGCAAATGCCCGGAAGCCATCGGAGGAACAAGCACTCGCGAGGATGGCCCAGAAGACCGCCGAGGTGAGAGCAGCGAGGGCAGAAAGAGAGAAGACGACGACAACAACGGCCACGACCACGACCACGACGAAGATGGAGGAAGAGCAGGCCACCGCCACATCTCCCAGTCGTCCTGCTCCACCTCCACGACGGTCCTCACTGGCCTCGACCCGCTCCAAGGAGAGGGCCACCGAGAAGAAATCAACGCCGCCGCCCCCCAGCCGACGCGTCCGTTTCCTCCTCCCCTCGATGCCCATCGAGATTCCTGCCAACGAGGGACCACCCCCTCCTGTCGGCTTCAGAAAGCATCGATCACGCCGTGGCAGAAACGGCTCGCCGAGAGACCCCGGTCGTTCTGACCGGTTTGGAGAGGTATTTGCACCCTCGTCCTGTCGCGCTCCATCCTTCTTCGTGCTCAAGATAGACCCCAAGTTCTAACTGGCAACCCGAAACGTGAGAACAGAGTACACGGTCAATCTCTACCTCTTCCTCGGCGGCCCTCGGAGCCGGACGGCGGCGCCAGTTCGTGGGCCCAATGTGTCCCGAGACATATTTACATCTACACCCACAATTTCAGGCTGCGATGGAGCAGGATCTGGAGACCGCCATCGGCATGTTGAAGGATGATGCACGTTATTATTCAGAGAAGTGTTAGGGATCGGGAATCGGAACGGGAGTTGGCATCAAAACATGGCAGGAATGGGAATGGATTGGGATGGAATCAATGCAATGCATGCTGAGGATGACTTGTTGGGACTGGCTGGCTTTCGGAATTGGGACTGGAATGAAAGAACAAGGACTGGAATCAATCAGCGTAGTCGCAGCCTCGATGGCGACTACATATCACCACTGAGGTGCTTGTACTCGTATGAATATTTAGCTAAGTCACTTTCCTTTCGGGAAATATTCCATCGCCGCTTTATTTATTGATGAATCATCGGCCCCCCATACCAATAAATTATTTGACTAATTCTGATATTCCTTCATGCCGCTTTGTTGGAAGCAGCCCCTCATGAGGGGTAGAGGTACTCTTTGCTCAAATTGTCGTTGACTGCGCCTCCGGCGTGCAATTTTCTTCGCCAACACGCCTCACTTGCCAGGAAACATGTCCGAGAATGCAGCCAAGTCCATGTCCGTGTCTGTGTCCGCTATATGAACCCATCCGCTCAGAGATGGCCCGTCCTTACCTGACGAACTCCGGCGTATTGTGTCGGAAGTTTTGGCAGCCACGCGCGTGACGCTGACTTGCAACAGAACTTCCAAGGCACAAAAGGGATCACTGAGAGATAGGTCCTCCTCCTATTAGAATACATACCTCCAGCTCCTCGAGTGACTCGAACCCGCGTCGAGTACCGCGGACCGCAAGCCTACGAATACCTACGAAGCGGAGCCGAATCCTGTTGTTCCTTCATGACCTTTGCAACGAATATACCTTATCCCTCTTTCCGCGGAGAGAACGTGCGTGGTTGATAGGACAGACGAGCCAAAATCCCCCTGAAAAAAGAGGTCATATCCGATATTCCCGTCAGAGGAGATGAGAGTATGTCTCAAAAGCTGCCAGGGTGGAAATTGCCAGACTGTTCGATTTGATTCACCCACCAACGAGAGAGAAACTGGAATGGACAGCCCCCGATGAGGTGTCACATACAGTACGGTCGAAACACAATCCACTGCGCTGCTTCCACGAGGATCGATAACGAATAGTGATTTCAGAGAGCCGAAAACAAGGAATGAGACTCGGTCGGACACTCGAAGCTGGCCTGTCTGTCTGTCACTTCTCTGGGGGAGCACGTACATCCAAGCGTTGGCGGAATGGGGAGCAACACGACGGATTAGAATATGTAGATAAAGATAAACAAGACCTGTATATTACAATCTCGCGGTGTTGATATCGTCAAATATACTAGACTGGAGCACCGTGATGGAAAGCTGTTGCGGACCTGCGCAGCCACCTTTCCCTTTTAGGCTAAACTCGAGCAACACCCAGAGCGGTCGGTCGATATCCCAAGGTGAAGATACCACGTACCCAGCTGGACCTTGATCGTATGAATCGGCATCACAAAGATCAATCCCGGGACTCATGAGCACTGTGGCGACCGGCGTCTTCGCTCCCGTGCCTGGTCCATCTCCGCGTAATACTGCTCCTCTGACGTCGTTGCCTATCTCCGCAAATTGACTAAGAGCTCAACACAATAGGTTTTGGATACGCATCGCGTCTTTTCCGCGGTCGTCGTCGGACCCCGCCGGACCGCCGCTGGACACTGATGAGCAGACAGTCTCCAAATAATCGAGAACCTCATCCTCCGATCGCGAGTCCTTGACCTTCTGGAACAAGACGAAGGCGGTCGACGGCTCTGCTCTCCTCATCCAATCGACCAGCACGTCGAAAAGGCGCGCTTTTCGCCCCTTCTCAAAGAGTTTCCACTGTCGGCGTCCGTCTTTCATGAAATCGTGGTCGCAGGCGGTTCCCGCTTTGACACAACTGGAGCATGGCGGGCCGCCTTCACACTGTAGAGATGGTCAAGTAGTCAGAAAAGATGAGTGGCAATTTCTAGCGTGTTCACACCTTTATCTTGGCCACTTTACATGCCTCGCATGCAGTGCTGGCTTTCCTTTTTGGCGCCCTGAAGTATGTATGTGCCACTGGCTCTGGCGCGGCGAACATGGCATCCGAGAACCCAATGATTGAGTTTGGGTAATTTGAGAGCGGCATGGGACCGGACGGAGCGAAGCGGTACCTGTCCGCCCACTCCATCTGGTATGCCATGGAGTTGTCGCTCGTCGGGCTCTGAGGGTACGTAGATTAGGCAACGGGGAAGTGGAAGGGGAGAAGAGGTAGGAGGGGGAGCATCATACCAGCCAGCCAGCCATCCAGTCTCCCGGAACGACACGAGACGACAGGCTTGTTGTTCGTTTTCCCTGGACACAATAGCTGTGTCTTTGGCTCCTTGACGTGGGAAAGAGAGGTTGCTCGGTTGATACAGCAACTCCGATTGCAAAACAGCACACAATGCCTTGAGAAGGAGGCGGGCACTTTTCCTATGAAATCGTGCACTGTGGTCTGCAATCTGCAAGGGGTCTAGCAAGTACTCCGGCCGACCTCGGTAGGTGAGTTGCGGCTAGGGCAAGCTACTCGTTCTTTGATCGTAAGGAGTCCCGAATGAATGACGCCTGATGCGGGTGTCTTCTTGCGAGAGGGAAGAAGGAGTTAAGAGGGCAATACGCCGCCAACTCTGGGTCCTGGGTTCTGGATTGTCCTTGTGACTCGTGACTTTGACCGACAGACTGACAGGAGGGGCGAGTTGCTTGGACCATCCGCGGTCTCAAGCTGATTGATCAATGATCCATATGGCAACACCAATCAAGAAACCCGACCTTTACGTCTTCCGTTATTCGCGCGCGCCTTTAGGGAAAGGACATCATGTGAGAGTGTCAAAGCTGAACTAGTTTGGGTCTGTGAGTCCCGCGAGCATGTGTTTATGTATGTATTTATGAAGGTTGCGGAAATTCCTCGATCCATTTTGACTCCGCGAGCACGGCGACATCCTTTCCTTTCTCTGCGTCGAGAAAACTAGACCGGACCACCTGAGCCTATCGCCACCGGGGATTCCTTGGGAGTCCGGCTCGCATCGAACGTTACAGTAGGTGCCATCGCGGGTGTAGCTGGGGAGTCAGAGGAGGAAGAGGTTGGAATGTTGTATTGAAATTGAAAGCCATTCGCCGCTTAAACGGTTCGGAACGGAAATATGATGATCCGGACATCAATCATTCGCTACACTCAAAGCGGCACCTCGTTCTCGCCATTTTGAACAGAGATAGAGAGAGCGGTAGAGGATTGTACCGGATGTAAAAACATCATCCCCCTCCCAGTGATCGTCTATGGTATATAATGGGTTGAGGTAGCGCACATCAGCGCTCACGTTGGGCTGCGAATCATCGAGACCGGAGCCTGCGAAGTCGTATAAAATGAGTCTGCCGTCGTCGTGAAGGAGGGAATTATGAGGGCTAAGATCCCCGTGCACAACCGTCTTTGGAGTGAATTTAGATGTATGCCACGGCCGATACAGCCTGAACGGACCAACTACACATTTATTAGTATATGTGTATTGACCTCGTTTTAATGTACTGAAGCAAAAAGACAAAAACAATCAACAATCAGGATTCCCACCTGGTCACCCACGGTAGTACTAACTGATCGGCATATGGCTTAAGTACGGCTGAGCGAACGGGAAGCCCTGTATTCCATATCCTATGGTCGATTGCGGAAGAAACTGTGCAAAAATGAAATATATACCTATTATTACCTCCATGTCTACATCTTTATTGACATACCTATATTGACAATGCACAGAGTATCCGAGGGTGTGTCTATATGATGGGATGTGGGGGCCAATGTGCGAGAAGGATTATTCACGAACATGCTTCGTTCACGAATCATCTTGTCAAGGCACTCTGTCAGGGTTTCAGGACGATGATATTAAACAATAGGCCATTGCGTAAGAGCTTGCATGTCGGAGGGCTTTGGCCGAGACAGTGAAGAATATTTGGGTCGTGTTTGAAGACGATGATACATCATTTTCTCGACCTTCTGCTCCTCGAGAAACTACAGAGCGGGAATTCTAGCAAGAACATTTGTCCCGGTGACGTGCGCGACCTCGGAGGAGAAGCCAATGCCGACACGTAATAATTGCTCCATGGCGAGAGTGGAAGGATCGAAGGGCAGATTATTCGTTGTGTAGGCGAATTCGGGGTTGTCGAGGTGGAGGTCGAGGTTGCTCTGGCGGAATCGAATCGAACTGACGCCTCTCACTGCGAAGTTTTTCGCTGTATTTCGGGAGGTAGGGCTCAGGAATCACGTAGAAACATCTCTGGCATGGAGCGTAAGGTAGAGAAACCTGCTTTCGATGACGGAGCCTTATCATCTGTTGGCAATGCGTGCGCAGCGCGAGGTGGCAGAGCGCAAGCAAACCAGGACAGGAAGGCGAGTCGAGCGCAATCTGATGTAATGACTAAGCACTCAGGAAAGGCAGTGAAAAGATTATCCCATACAACCTTTTACTAACCAACGTCGTCATATCAAACCCAGTATCATTACATAGCTGTTCAAGAGACCTATCTGATCATATAAATGCATAAACTTATATTATGTTACGATGGAGATGCAGGCAAAAGAAAGCTTTGAGGTGCTGAGGGATATAGCGAATGAAATTGCGAGAATTTAGCTTGGCGCCAATATCCAAGACAAGGCGTTGACCCTTTGCTCGCAGGTGTCTGTCGTCAGCTGGCGGCGACTCGGGCGGTCTGGGTGCCTAATGTTGGTGCGAAAGGTGCCACCTCACGCCTAAAGTGCCCTGGCAACAGAGCCTGGACAGAAATCGGGGAGCCAAGGGGCAAGAATTAGGCTCGCTGCAGGCGTGGCAGTGTTAAGTCTCATGGGCACCCTCCAGGTCCCGGGCTGCCCTGTGCACAACCACATAGGCCTCGACCATTATCAAGACAGCGCCTTAATGATGCCTATGATACCTAATAATAAATAATTCTTGGGATGCATCCTCATCCTTGACTCTCCTCACTTGTCGAATCTGAATTCGCCTTCTTCGCCCAGCTCCTCCACTTCATGCTCAATCACCCGCTCGATCTCGCTGGCAATATTCAGGACCCAGTGGTCTCTCTCAGCGCGACTGCGACACTTGAAGACCATCCCCCGTCCCGGTACACCGAGCTGGCCCACTCTACGAAGCTTTGCCCTGGTACGGCCACGGGTTCTGCTTCTCTGCCCCTCGTCATCCGCGTCGCTGACGGTCCCCTCGGTCGTGGCGGTCTTGAACCAGCCCTTTCTTCTGTTCATCCACACTACAAAACAAGTCATGACGTCGACGTCGGCGCTCGTCCATCCGTCTTCGAGGTACACGCGGGGAAGACTGGCCAGCCCCGGATGGTTCGCATCAAAGGTTCGGTTTTGGTACAGCAGATCGTCGTCTACGATCAGACCACTGTAGATGTAGCAGTCCTTCAAGTCGACATCCTGCTGCTTCTCTTGATGGATGAAGCGGACCTGCTCACCGGTTCTCTTCCGCAAAGCCGACTGGAAAATGAGCAACCTGCCGCCAGTAAGGATAACTTGGCACCGATGGAAAGTAGCACGTCGGCGTGTTTTGAGATACAACGATCCGGACATTGTCACACTGCGACAACTGCTTATTGCGCACATGTTGTAGAGCTCCGGGCTGGCTTCGCTGCGGCTCACTTCCCATTTCTTCGCAAATTGACCAATGATGGCTTCCATCTCTTCGTCCACGTTGAGCTGTTCGAGGTTGGCCTTTCTTATAGCTTTAAAGGTGTCCATTTCGGCAGCCGTGCGAAGTTTCCAGTATTTCACCAATTCTTTCAGGCGGCGGATCCATTCGTCGCGTGTATGTTTCGAGTATGCTTGCAGCCGAACGACGAGTCCATTCCCAAGAACGAGTTCGAATACTCGATCGTCATCGATTTCGTGTGTTGATCCGTCCTCCTGCCTGCTATCAGCCACATCCTGGTGAAAGTCGACATCGGAACTCGATCCAGTCTCAAGGACTTCGTCTGTGGGTGAGGCGCCCCATTTTATGGTGCGCACGTGACGAATATTGCACATGTTGATGTATCCATCTGCATCCAAGATATTCGCCACATTCCGCCGAGCTTCTTCCAGAGCGCCTCGGTCACGACTCTGCAAAGTCATACGGTTCCCGGAAGACAACCACGAAACCTCGCCATGGCTCAACTTGTACGGTTCGATATCGTACATCAATGGCGTCTTTTCCACGATCTCATGCGCAGATGGGACATCACCCTGGCTGGTTGTCGCAAGCCGAGGCGGATGAGGCGGGGTTGTCTTCGCAGGCCGATTGAACATCAAGAATTGATTGTGCGTCGAGAAATACAACCGCTTGAAGAAAGCTTTTCCCATCCTCTTGTGAACACCTTTCTGGGACGTCAACCGAATCAAGAACCCTTCGATAGGAGGAGGCTCTTCGTGATGTTTCCCCTTTCTACCATACGTTGACGTCGGGTAGTGCTGCTTGGGTCGGAGTTCCAGATCGTGAGAGCGAGCCATTGCCATGGAACCATACATCTTGTGCTCGTTGACCCCGTGCACCCATTCAAGCCGGTCGTATCTCTTCCACGCAAGTCCCATTTTGGCCCTTTCACTCCAGACTTCCAAGACATTGGACCACTCGGGGTCGCGTTCCAACATTGCGATGCACTCGGAGATGATCTTCCCGGCGACGGCTTTCTCAGCAGCAATCGTCCGCGCCAGAGCCGTCTCCTCGTCCGCGGCATCTTCTGCAGCTGTCTCGAGCACTTCAAAGGGCCTCTCCAGTCGCAGAGTCACATCAAGGTCCGGAACATTGACTTGAAGACTGGAAGGCCGTTCCCAGCCAAGAGCATCTCGGAGAAAGGTATACCACTCCACAGAGTGTGCCTGCGAACGTGGCTTCATCACCATGATTCTCGTTCCCTTTCTGTACGGATGCCAGATGACCACGGTCTTGTCAAGGGAGGAATAGAGATTGACTCTTGTCGTCTTGGGGTCGAGTCTGATCTCATACTTCGGTTTCTTCTTGGTCGACTCGTCATCGATCTCCGGAATGACTCGAGTTTTGTAGATTTGAAGTCTGTAGTCGTCGACGTCCTGTTTCTTGCTCTTTCTTGCCACAACCATGAACTCCCGCC